TAAAACACGTAAATAAAAAATAAAACAAATATTAAAAGACGCACATTTTTTACTTGCATAGTGAAGTAATTGTATTTTTTCATTTGCTATACGGCCAGATAATACGACATATCGCGAACCAGTCGTTCATAAAAGTTGAAGGCCGTATAGTACTATAGTAATAGAGCAAGTGCAGAATCACTGAACCGGAGTTGATAGCTTGAAAGCGTTTAGCGCGGGGCCCTTGAAAGTGCGGGGCCCGTAGCTGCTACATGTGTAGCTACTTTTGCTACGAAGATAATCCGGCACTGCTTCTGGGTTCGAATCCGGATCTCAGCAGCCGCCTGTGATTTTAAAACGCCGGATTGTCGAGTAGAGTTGAGATGGCCTCAAGGCGGTCACCAGGTCACGTGAGGGGTTGGATCCGTGGCAAAGCTTGGACGTCACGCCAAAGAAAAACAGAACCTGGGTTCGATCCAGGTATCATCAGCACCACCAAAAAAAACAAAGACCCCCCCCCTGCCCCGTGTAGCCTTAACAGACTGTAGGGGCAAGTGCTATTAGCGAGCACCTATGAAAGCCAGCAAGGCACACGAGGACGTGGGTGACCAGCACCACTCCCGGCCGTCTTTGTCTCCCTAGTGGCGATGTTTACACCGCGCCAGGCACTCGCCGCCATCATGTCAATCATCATCATCATCATCCGTTGTATCCCCCGCCTCCCTCCCCCGCTGGGGTCGGTAAGATGAGTACCACTAAGTGACGCTACACCACTTGGTGTTAGGAATTCAGCTCATGGTAGACTTACCCCGTCATAGGAACGTGGAATATTTACCACTAGCTAATGACCACCAGTGGAGACAGGCACTGTCCAACGCTTTTTCTTTTTAAAGTGACACCGATTTTATTTCTGTTTATACACCAAAACAGTGCGAGCTATTTTGTGGCAGGAAAGTAACACGGCTCAACTTTACCGATGATCCCTAACGAAGGCGAAACAAATGTAGTTTGTATACAGGTGGAAGCTGGGATAACCAGTTAATAGGAAACAGATGAAACAGTGATGCAGAGTCCACTTTGCTTTATGGCTTTAAAATTTTACAGCTGTGGATTTTACGGTGGTAAGTTTTAATTATTTTATGATTGGCAGTGTTGTGGCAGTGTGCCAGGAGGTGCAGTGGTGTGAGAGAGAGAAGAGCACGTGGCCGACGACCAGAAGGTCACAAGTTCAAATACCGGTTAGGGGTCAGTCACAAGCCCATCGTTCCTCCCAGGGACAAGCCAATGAGTAAAACGTTGCCGGGAAGTTAACAGTGGAAGTCATTGAGCTTTGCCCCTACCCCCCATCATAATAATCAGCCATGATCCATCCACTGCTGCATCAAGACGCTCCACGCCGTCGCTTCTATCCGTCGTGGCCCTGCGATCTCAGTCCATCTCCCTTCTGCATGCGAGCCGACCCATTGATCCGTCTCCATAGTGGCCGCCCTCTTGGACATGTTCTAGCCTTTGGGTGATATCTGCACACCTGTCAACCCCTTATCAGTGCCCTACCTTATTACAGACCAATTCAGACCTTATTGATCACCCCATGCCCCCTTATAAATCTCAGCGTTCATCCTACAAAGTCCCATCACAAGGGAGAAACACGAAGACATTTTTTTTGTCTTTGCCCGTATTGAAACAGCCGTACGCCGTTTGGACCTGAAAACTCAATTTCCCTGCACAACACGGGGTAAACCGTATGGATTGACACGTTATGGGTTTGATCAGTCTCCATCTCAGTGCGACGTGCCCTAACCCAAGCCCACTTAGCGCTCCTCATCTCAAGTCAACGTCTCTCGCATCCTTTCCCTCATCTTGCAGTGCACCTTCTCCACGCTTACCTCGCACGCGCGTTCAGCCCTTCTCCCAGTTCATTGAACACTCTCCATGTTTCTGTTCGCCGTACAGTTTCGCTGTCATAGGCATGTGGAATTCCCACTGCTGCTTTCGGGGCTGTAAATGTGAACACCATCACACTCATTGGATGGGGGGGGGGGGGGTATCACGTTGGTCTCAGCAGTGGGGGATGACTGGTGTATTAAACACTAAGATCTACACTGGGCCCGTAGCGTGTACAAAACGTCTTTGAACTTCAATCACGTCCTACCCTAGGGGTCGGCGACCAAAATCACAAGAGCAGGCATTTTTTATTCGAATTCCGTGGTGGGGGGGGGGGGGGAAACCTCAACATTTCAAGCGCCGCAATGCGAGCGGTGAATACAGAGACGGAGGTGGGTCCGTGATAAGTAACGTCGCACCAAAGCAGTAACTAATAGCGGAGATGGCGGTGGGTCCGTGATAAGTAACGTTGCACCAAAGCAGTAACGAATATGTAAACGGGTCCGTGATAAGTAACGTCGCACCAAAGCAGTAACAAATAGCGGAGATGGCGGTGGGTCCGTAATAAGTAACGTCGCACCAAAGCAGACCCTAAAGAGCAGTGCACGCTGCTGACCCCTGACCTAGGGTACCCCCCCCCCCCCGTCATGGCAGCTTGTCCCTCTGTAAGCCAAATTCCAGACACTGGGACCAAACGTCGGCGTGAGCGGAGGGGTGTGAAGCTCTCGGCAAGCGAAGGGTCGACCGAGGACCCCCACAGCATTTCCCAATCTTTAAAGCCCTTGCGAGAGAATGTATACGACACCGCGTATCAGACGGAACGGTCTTTATTGCATCTGTGCAGTGAATGTGTGGAGAGCGTGAGTATGCATCCGGGAGTCTTGCGCCATCCTACAGCCCCCTGCCGCGCCTGTTGCAGCTGATAAGCAAAACTGTTACGGCTGTAGCGCGATGGTTATGATGCCATGGTTAATGCTATGGTTGTAGTGCTACAGCTGTAGCGCTACGGCCTGTAGTGCCAGAGCTTAGTGGGCTTGAGCGCTGTGACTAGCGGTGCTATGGTTCTAGTTGCTGCAGGCTGTAGTGCTATGGCTGTAGTTGCTGCAGGCTGTAGTGCTATGGTTCTAGTTGCTGCAGGCTGTAGTGCTATGGCTGTAGTTGCTGCAGGCTGTAGTGCTATGGCTGTAGAGCTTCAGCCACAGCACTACGGCTATAGCGCTGTGACTCTAGCTTGAGGTGCCGTAGCCCCATGGCCACGTTACTTGTCAACTCAAACTCTCCCCCCCACAGTGCATCGTTACATCAGGTGCGTGCAGTGTGCGCAGTGTGGACGGGGTGGATTTATAAACATCTGCATCACAGCAAGATAACCTTCGCCAGTCAATCCACTGACAAAGCCCCCCCCCTTACCCCACACTGTGTTGGTCGTAAACCCAGACTGACCAGCGTGGTGAAGTATGGTCAAACAACTTCCATCTGAGGCCTCTTCCTTCACCGGTTTGGGGCCGCATGGCTGTGAATGATGCACTACAGGCTATCGTCATTCTCCTCCTACTCCTCCTCGTTCTCCTTTTCATCGTCGTCACCCTTCTCCGACTCATCGTCTTTGTCAGACGCCGACTAGTCCTTGTCGACGACACAGTCATCCTCGGCTTTCCTCCGAGTCTTCCTCGACCTCCTCCGAGCCATGTCTCCTGTACTGGTACGAGAAGTCGAGCCTCTCCTCGCCGCCGCCGCCGCTGCTGCTGCTGCTGTGGAGACAACACGTCGTGCAGGGGGTGCGCGGAGGATACTGTAGATGGGGATGGACGGGGAATCGACGGGCGGGGGGGATGGATGGATGGAGTGGTGGGGGATGAGCAGGGGTGGCCGGGAGGTGAGCGAAAATGGATGGGGTCAGACGGGGAGGTGGGGGGCATGACCGGGGATGGATGAGGAGGGAGGGGATGAGCGGGCATGGACGGAGATGCACGGGGATGGGTGGGTGGGATTTGTGGGTGGGATTTGTGGGTGGGTTTGTGGGTGGGTTTGTGGGTGGGTTTGTGGGTGGGTTTGTGGGTGGGTTTGTGGGTGGGTTTGTGGGTAGGTTTGTGGGTGGGTTTGTGGGTGGGTTTGTGGGTGGGTTTGTGGGTGGGTTTGTGGGTGGGTTTGTGGGTGGGTTTGTGGGTGGGTTTGTGGGTGGGTGAGCCAAGTGGACTGCGGGTGGGGTACCTCTCCGCGGTGCCCTGGACGTCGTTCTCCACGTCTCGTAGGAGCGCGCGCTCTGGCTTGCGCTCGCGCCGCCGCCGCCGCCGCCTCAGGGACTCGCCGACTCCGCGGCACAGCTCCTCGTCGCTCGAGTCCCTGCGGCGCGCCCCGGCGGAGCCACCGGAGCGCCACAAACGCGCGCTCGAGTGCCGTCTTCTTAAAAACCACAGCTTTACCTTTTTTTTCTCACGTTTTTATTCCGATCGTTCCGCTGGAAACCGTAACGCTCGCAGAGCGGATCGGGTGGGTCGCTTCCCCCACGTGAGAATGGCAACGCGAGAAGCGGATATCGCGGAATTGCTTGCGAGATCCCTTCTAAGTGATTACGGTCCAAATGTAATGTTTTAGATCGAAAACCCATTTCTTTAGAAACGCTTTTTGTGTTTAGTTTGTCCTTCCACCACGCGGTTGGCACCATACGTGCTCACCTCCGATTAGCACACACGGCGCGAAAGAAGTTCAACGTACATACACACACACACAACGTTAACAAAGAGCTACTCACATGACTTGGCTGAGGTCAGAGAGGTCACCGTAGTCTGCGGGGCTCATGCACAGCGTGCACTGCTTCAGCTTCTCCATGCAGCCGCTGCAGTAATATCCTGATGTGTGGGCGGGGGGGTGGGGGGGGGGTGGGTGGGGCAGTGGGAGGGGTAAGCGATGAGACTTTTTAAAAATAAAACTTCTCCAACTTTGTTATCAACTCTGCTGTCCCAGCAGATGCAGGAAAAGGAAAACTGACTTTGGCACTGCTGCTCCTAACTCTTAATTCTTAACTCTACACCCTTGCCCTAACCCTAATTCCCTAAATACAAACTCTACACCCTCGCCTTAAACTCTCATCCTCACCACCAACCCGACGTGAAATACTACATTTCTTGAGCTGAGAGCTAAACGAGCGGCAATGGGCAGGGTACTACTAATGGGAAGGCGCAAACCCTGGTTGAACGCCTGCGATTGGAGGCACATTTTTGCGTCCAATCGCACCGTCGGATTTTCGAAGGTCGTTGCCCGCACCCCGACTTGCCCATGCATCCGGGCACGACGCAGTGCTTGAAGGAGGAGGCCGAGTGCCTGGTGGCCGGGCACGCGCACGCCATGCAGTGCTTCTCGTAGATGCCCAGGAGGTTGACGATCGGCATCAAGCACGTGATGCTGCAAAGAAAAGGCAATTTTTTACAACGACCACCCCACAATGCGCTCCCGCGACGCTGCAGTCCGGCTCGTTATCTGGCCAGACGCTCGCTAAATGCAGTTGGCCAAACGTCCCAGGAACCGTCCTAGTATTGGGGCAACACCTCAATGCTCCACACAGATGGATTCAAGAATCCACAGCTGTACCGCCATCTACTGGCCACGTTATGGTCCAGGCCTACAGCGCTTGCCGGTCCCCGCAGAGTTGTCCATCCCATCCAAGTCCTCGCCAGCCTCAGCTGAGCTTTCAGGGTGATTTGGTCGTAGGAGTCTCGAGTACCTCCGACTCGCTCGCTGCGGCTCTGCCATCGGAGCCGTGAGCCATGTCTATGCGTGGATGGGGGGGGTGGGTGGTGGGAGGGAGGAGGGGAGGGCGGCTCGAGAGTGGTCACGCCATGCTCACCGTGTGGCCAGGATGAGCAGGAAGCCGGAGTGACTGCCGTCCTTGGCGTTCCTCCGGATTGCCCTCCACATGGACTTGAGCTGGCCGGGCCGGCGGCACAAGATCTTGTTGTAGAGGAACAGGATGCGTTCCTGCGGGGTTCAACGGAACTAACTGCATGCGACGTGCACTCATACAGATCTACTACGGGTGTAATCAGGGATTAAATTGTCGCTGAATGTTTTACCGGCTCGCTGGACTCATGTGCCGGGGCCATATTGAGGGGTATAATTGATGAGGTATGCCGCCCGCGGACGTAATTTCCAGGTCGTCGACCAATTTTTCAGCACCAGTGAAGACGTGCACGATCCCTCGCTCTTCTCTCTTCTCTGTCTCTGTATGGCCGAGTGCCGCCCCTTTAATCGGGCAACCCACAATGTACCGCGGCACGGCCACTTACTCGCTCCCTGACGGGGTAGTAGTTGGAGCAGACGAGGCGGCGTAGGCGCATTCCGTACACCTGGAACACGGTCACGAATAATGCCAGCCCGAACATGGCGCCTACACAAAAACAAAGACAAACACCCTCGGTGTAGCCTTAACAGACTGTTGGGGAAAGTGCTGATAGTGAGCACCTATGAAGGCCGGCACAGCACACAAAGGGGCTGGGTGACCAGCACCACGCCCGGCCAACTTTGTCTCCCTAGTGACAATGTTTACACACTGCACCAGGTAGTCATTTGAGGTGGAGGGTCCAAAATAAGTAATGTCGCACCAAAGCAGCCCTTAAAGAGGGGAGGCCCAGGACCGGTTTAGATAATCGTCACTGTTGTTGACCATGAGTGGGATTGCTGGGTTCATAGCGCAGCACGCTACCACACTGCCACACGTTGGAATTCCCGACCATCATCTGCGACCGTCTGGAATGATCTACCTTCCGATATTAGGAATCCACTGGAGTTGTGCACTTCTAAATCTAGAATGAAAACGTATTTATTTAGAACTGCGTTTAGTGTTTAGTTTGTTGTCCTGCCCACGCACCTCCGATGAGTATGGTTGGCTATGATACCCTATCCACCACTCAGCCTCTCACCGATGTGGAAGATTCTTGCCACGGGGAGGTAGCTGGGGCTGGGCGCGCACTTCTTGGTGATCACCTGGAACTGGCCATCCTGCAGCGTGTCGAAGGCTTCCGCCAGCACGCTGAAGATGTTGGCCATGATCCCGTCGCCCTCCACCTTCAGCTTCATCTTCATGGGGGCTGCGCCACGCAACGCAACGCAAGCACGCAACGCAATGCACGCACGTCGCAGAGCGAGCCGCTACGTGGGTGAAGCCGACTTTTGCGCAAGTCGTCATTTCATCGTCATCATTGCTGACAACGGCGGGTGATCCGTCTCCGACCGAGTCTTCGTGAATGTGCCCGACGATGGTAAGATATCGGACGATAAGCAGAGTTGAGCCTGACGAGTACGCAGATGGGAGGCATGCCTGGGAATGGTAGGTGTTGCAGGCCTGGGCTTCGGTCGTGGCCAGGAGGTGATAATACAGCATTGGATTCCCAAATATGGCTTTCAGCGTAATCCCCACATATGTACACTTTTATCCGGGTGCTCTGGGTTCCTCCCACAAAGCCAAACGCTTTCCCTGCACCTCCGATTAGCACGGTTAGCTACGTATGGTGCGAAATAATTTCAGCATGCATACGTACGTAATAGTTACTGGCCAAATATCCTAATGCAGGACCCTCCTGAAAAGAGTTTGGAGCCTCAATGTAGGCTTCAATTTGATCGACGAGTTGGAATGTGGCATGGCACGGCGTGGCATCAACGCGCTGCGGAGCGTATGCATGTATGTTGAATTTATTTCGCGCACCGCACATGGTCAACCATGCTAATCGGAGGTGCCCTCGTCATCACAGCGGTGGATCGACACGAGCGCCGTGCGAGCACGCGCAGGCTACGTGATGTGACGTCGCGCTGTGACGAGCAGGGAGGCTCACCCTGGGCGAACACCTCGACGGAGAGGAACTCGGCGACGGTGCTCAGGATGCCGTAGACGCCGTGGTCGAGGCAGACGAAGAAGACGGCGTAGAAGAAGCAGCCGAGCCACTCCACGAAGTTGCTGCCGAAGATCTCCTTCTCCTCCAGCGACATGTACGGCGACCCTGCGCGATTCGCGTGCGCAGAGCCCGCAGAGGCAAAGGTTCACCCCCCCCCCCCCACCCCCGCCGCGTAGCCTCTATCGTCGGGGCAAAATGCTGTTCGCGAGTAACTGTCGAGACCGGTACGGCGCACAAGGGCGAGGTTTGGCCAGAACCACATAACACGCCCGGCCACCTTTGTCTTCCCAGTGATGATGTTCAGATACCGCTTGGTGCTGATGTCAGCCGTGGCCGGGGGATCGAACTCTGGCTACTGGGTTTGCAGCACAGTGTGGCAAACACTGCACCACCACTCCCCAGACATACACAGACACGCTCGCCGCATCGCTGTCACGGGGTCGGTGATGGTGTGACGATGCAATTGTCGACGCTGTCAGTGATGTCGGCGACGGCGGTGTGACGGTGACGGTGAAGGTGTTGCAACGGCGGTGTGATGGTGATGATGTCAAGCAATGTGACAGCATTGGCGAGGGTGGAGATCACGGCGGTGGTCGTTGCTGCTGTGGTCACAAGCGACCGTCGCTGGCGACGGCGGTGCTGCGCGTGTGTGTGTGCGCGTGTGTGTGCGTGCGCGTGTGCACGTGTGTGTGCACGTGTGTGCACGTGTGTGTGCACGTGTGTGCACGTGTGTGCGTGCGCGTGTGTGTGCGTGCGTGTGTGTGCGTGCGCGTGTGTGTGCGTGCGCGTGTGTGCACATACGCGGCGTGATGTAGCGCGACGCTTCTCCGCGGTTCAGCGGCAGCAGCGGCTCCTCGCCGAGGCGCGTGCGGATCAGGTCGACGCGCACGAACCGCTCCGTGATGTACACGTTGTCGAAGTCGTCGCTGTACAGGTAGTTGTGTCGGTAGTACAGGCACCTGCCGGTCAATCGCTCCGCGGGGGTTGGGGTTGGTGGAACCGGTGGGGGGGGGGGGGGGAGCGGGGGTTGAGGTTGGTGGAACCGGTGGGGGGGGGGGGGGCGGCCGGGCGCTCACCTTACGAAGAGGTAGACGATGGCGACGAAGGCGACGTCGGTGAAGAGCGCGATGACGTGGTCCAAGTACACGGTGCGTCGGTTCACCTCGGCCATGATGCTGCGCGCGATCTGCGGCGCCGACGCGGAGCCCCCGCGGTCCACGCTGAGCTTGTGGTGCACCGACAAGTTGAAGGCGAACTGATTCTTCATCCCGTCGAGCTTCCTCCCGATCGCTGCCCCCAGAGGGCACGAGAAACAACGGCAAAGAATTCGTGGAGAGCTTCATATAGAGCGTCTACTTCATATAGAGCGTCTACTTTATATAGAGCGTCTACTTTATATAGAGCGTCTACTTTATATAGAGCGTCTACTTCGAATGCAAACCGCCTTGGGCCAGATCGCCCGACATTGTGCCAGAGCGCGCCACATCTCGTCAGATCCCGGAGGCAAGCAGCGTTGAGCCTGGATAGCGCTCGGATGGGCAGGCGCGGGGCTGTGCAGTGCGGCGTTCGGTCAGAGTAGGGAGCGCGACACCGCACCCGCATCTTCACGAACCCGCGCCGAGCAGGTGGTGGAGTACGGTCAATAAACCCCCCGGGGACCGACAGCAGATTGAGAAAGGCAATAACTTTGTGATAATATGCTGAGGCTGTGTTAAGGGCGGCAGAAGCGGCCAAAAAAAACCGCACACAAACGATACGGAAAGAAACAATGATAACTTATACGGCACATTGAACAAATTGGCCACCGAACGAGGCTGCGCACGCGTGCGTGTAAAAAGCGTGAATGGCACTTACAGTCAGACACTTTCTCTTGGATGAAATTCTGAAGTTTTTGAGGCACGAGGCAAAACACCTTCCCCACTGGGCAGCGGAGAGAGAGGACGAGGCAAGATGAGCGAGACAACAATTTCCCCATAGCCACCACTCTCGCCACCACCAGGGTCATCGTCAACCACCAAAACACCATCCGGCATCACCCGCCATCAACAACCGCCCGCTGCCACTGCTCACCGCCATCGCCACCACTATTCCTAACCACCACTACCACCATTCCCGTAACCAAAGACAAAGATTCCACTGTGTAGCCTTAATAGACTTTTTGGGCAAGTGCTGTTCGCGAGCACCTACGAAGGCCGGAACGGCACACGAGGATATGGGTGGCCAACACCACGCCCGGCCGCCTTAGTCTCCCGAGTGGCCATGTTTACACACCACACTGGGTACTCAGTTGAGGCTGAGTCGACCTAGACGGGGGGGGGGGGGGGGGGGCCCAGGACCGGGTTCAGATAGTCGTCACTGGCGTTGGCCGTGAATGAAACTCGGATCACCGGGGTCATCGCAGCCCTCATCGCCACCAACCGCACGCCACCATCACCTGCCGTCCGTCGCCGTTCCACCGCCAGAGCTCCGCTCCCGCCCCCCATACCCCCCGCTCACCTTTGACGATCTCGCACACCCACTTGACGCTGTTGACGATCCCGCACACCCAGTTGATGATCCAGTGCAGCTCCTCCTTGCATTTCCTGTAGCCGTCGTCCAAGCCGGCCAAGCACTTCTCGTAAGGGTCTTCGAAGATCCTGTTGCAGTTTCACCGACGTTCATCAGCCAGTCGGCGGCATTGCAGATGGACGTCCCTGTGAAAGGGCAGAGGAGCAGGAGAATGGGTAAAGCTTCCAAACGTCTGGCCATATCAGTGCCTACCTTGTTACAGAACAATTCAGACCTTATTGGTCACCCCGTTCATCCTACAAAGTCCCATCACCAGGGAGAAACACAAACAAATAGACAAAAATATTTTGCCCGTATTGAAACGGCTGTACGCAGTATGTACCTGAAAACTCAATATCCCTGTACAAGAATACGGGTAAACCATACGGGTTGACAGCTGTGTGCGTGCGATGTGGCCGTGTGCGCAACGCTCGCTCACAGATGAACATGACCCCCTCCTTGATCGCCGTGAATATTCTCCCCACTTCGCTCGACAGAGATTTCAGTTTGCCCGACACCGTCTCGATCTGGTCGATCATCGCTGCGGGGGAACAGGAGAAATGGTCACAGGGCTGTGCACGCACACGCACGCACACGCACGTCTATGCAAAACAAAGACAAAGAGATCGCCCGTATAGCCCACAGACTGTCGAGGAAAGTGCTGTTAGCGAGCACCTATTAAGGCCGGCACGGAACACGAAGGGGTGGGTGGCCAGCACCACTCCCAGCCACCTGTGTTTCCCGAGTGGCAATGTTTTTACGCACCGCACCAGGTACTCATTTGAGGCTGAGTCGACCTAGGGGGAGGCCCAGGACCTGTTGGCCGTGAGCGGGAATCGAACTCGGGAAGCCGGGATCGTTGCGCAGTGCCCTAACCGCTACGCTACTGCTCCTCCTATGGAACACAATGCACACACATACACACGCCTATGCAACACAATCCCGCTTACAGAATGTTGGGGCAAGTGCTGTCAGCGAGCACCTACGAAGGCCGCCACGGCACATGAGGAGGTCGCTTGCTATCGCACGAGGCACTCATTTGAGGCCGAGTCGACATCGGGGAGGCCCAGGTCCGGTTCAGATAATCGTCACTCTGGTCGCTAACCGCTACACTAAACAAACACGCACGCACACGTGTCTACGCAATGCATACATGCCGGTTTAAATGCATGAGCACGCGCGCACGTGTACAGAAGCACAGAAGCGCACGTACACACAAAACTATGGGTATGCACATCTTGCATAAAACGCATGCGAGCTTACACGCGTGAAAACACACACATTCACAAATACAGGTGTGTGTGTGTGTTTCAGATTGAGGTGTGGGTTACAGTTGCGTGTGTGCGTGTTACAGGTTGCTGTGTAGATTGGGGGGAGCGGTGGTGTAGCGGTTAGCGCTACGCTGCGCTACGAATCCGGCAACCCAAGTTAGATTCCCGCTCACGACCAACACCCAGTGACGATTATTTCACCTGGTCCTGGGCCTCCTCTAGGTCGACTCAGTCTCGAAATGAGTGCCTGGTGCGGCGTGATGCTGCCCACCCACCCCGTCGTGTGCCCTACCGGGCCTTCCTGGTGCCCACTAACAGTCTGTGTTAAAGGCTACGCGGCGGGACGCTTTGAGTTTGCGTCGTGAGCGGCTCTGACAATCTCTGGAATCGATCTCAGGAGCTTCAAAACCGGACGAGAAGCTCCCTCTCCTGGGCACGCGGCCGCGCGGCGGTCACTCCGCCTCTCATCATTCGCCCGTGCGCGCGTGTCGTGAGCTTGTGTCGTGAGCTTGTGTTGTGAGCTTGTGTCGTGAGCTTGTGTCGTGAGCTTGTGTCGTGAGCTTCGGCAGCGCGTGCGCTGCCCGGGTGCCGTTGCGTGCGCCGGCTGGGAGACGCGGCGGGGCGGTGCCACGTACCCAAGAGCGGCGTGGCCGCCCTGCGGATCATCTCCTTGGTCTGGTTGGTGGCCATCTCGGCCCCGCAGGCCATGGAGGTGGCGAACGCTTGGAAGTTGTTCTTGATGTTCTGCGCGGGGCCCCTGGCCACCGTGAGCATGGCCATGGAGATGACGACGATTCGGCCCTCCTCTGCGACGACGCCGAGTGACAGGTGCGGCATCGATAAAGGCATTAAAGCGCGTGACGACGGCTCCTTAACGGCTCTTATCGTGTTCATTTTTTCCTACTTGGGGGGGGGGGGGGGCACAAGAGAACCCTCAAATACCTTTGCGACTGAGCACGCTAAAATTACCACTCGTGCACGTGAGCGCACTTGCTGAAGAAGAGCTTAGGCAGCAGTTTCTTAATTCCTGTTGCTCTCTGCACCCCCCCCCCCCCGCACCACCCGTACCGTTCCCGTTCCGTTGTATCGTGCACCGGTGCCTACTTTAATCAGAGGGGCGATATTGGCACGTGAAATGAAGATTGGTCGACCGACGCTCGCGCACTTACTGGAGAAGAGGTAGGGCAGCATGAGGATGAAGGCGGCGCGCACCGTCAACGAGAAGGCCATGCCCAGCGACATGAAGGAGACGACCACGGCGGTGACGTAGGTGCACGTGGTGATGTCGTAGCCAAAGTCGAAGGTGATCGTGTAGAAGAAGAAGACGCCGATGATGAGCCCGAGGAGGAAGGCGCACACGCTGTGGATGACCATCCACAGCAACGACTGCCTGCCCCGCCCGCTTTGCTTCTTCTTTGCCAGCCAGGTCCTCTGTGCAAAACGAGGGGGGTTAGCGGCGCAGTATTCATCTTCGTGGATCCTATAAGGAGCAACGTGGAACCCGCAGCATTGGAACCACCGTGGAGCTCGTAGAGAGCACGGTGGAACCACATTAGAGCTATAAATGGGGCCCGTATTAATCACCATGTGGCCGCATGGAAACCCGTATATAGTACAGTGGAACCACATTAGAGCCACAATGGGGCCCATGTATAGCGCCATGGAGCAGCTAGGGAGCCATCATCCAGCCACCACAATGAGGCCAAAGAGAGCTATCATGGAATTATCACGGAGCCATTATGGAACCACAGTGAATCTACCATATATCTAAACTATGGAGCCACCAAAGTGTAACAATGGAACCACAATGGTCCCTCCATCGAGCCACAGTGGACCCTCTAGAGCAGGGGTGGGGAACCTTTTTTCTGCCAAGGGGCATTTGGATATTTAAAACATCATTCACGGGCCATACAAAATTATCAATGTAAAAATTAGCAAGTTACTGAATTTCGAGTCCCGTCAGCGGTTGCCTTGGCAAGGCCAGACCAAATGATTTTGCGGGCCTTGTACGGCCCGCGGGCCGGACGTTCCCCACCCCTGCTCTATAAAGTCACAATGGAGCCTCAATAGAGCCACAATTAAGCCTCCATGAAGTCGCAATGGGGCCTCCATGAATCCACAACGGAGCCATAACAGCACCACGAAAGTGCCCAAAAACGCGACGTCGATGGAGCCCAGGCAGCGCCGGATTATCCTAGTAGCAAAAGTAGCTACATACCATATGGGCCCCGCTCTAAATACGTTCAAGCTATCAATTCCGTTTCAGTGATTCTGCACTTGCTCTATTACTATAGTACTATACCGCCTTCAAATTTTATGAACAACTGAGTGTTTAAGGTTCGCGATTTGTCGTATTATCTGACCGTATGCCAAGTGAAAAAATACAATTTACTTTACTGTGCAAGTTAAAAATGTACGTGTTTTAATATTTACGTGTTTTTTTTTTAATTCAATTCAGGGCCCCTTTATATAACAACATATGGTACGGGCTCCACACTAGCTGAATCCGGCACTGAGCCCAGAGGCATGCAGCTTCACCAGCCCCGTCACCTTGATGCGGTCGGCCCTGGCGCAGTCCACCGTCTCGCACACGCGGCAGCAGCAGCAGCAGCAGTCGAGGCAGCCATCCCAGAGGGTGAAGTTCTCGGCCAGGTGGGGGAAGCAGAGGGTGCGGACCCAGCGCAGTGGCCCGAAGCTCAGGAACACCTTGAGGGCCCCAGCAGAGAGCCACCCACGAAACGACAGAGGGGGAGAGGGGTTTATTTGTTAGATCGCGTACACATGTGTCGTTAAACCCGCCACCACCCGACACAGCCAATGAATGGGGTTTGTCACGTAAACAAACACGCGCCAGTGCGTTACTAGTCCAGCACACCGGTGTTGTTGGAGAGCCACATTTGATGATGCTGGTTGTAATTGCTGGTGAAACGTCGCACTCGAATTGTAAATGTTTTTGGCCTTACTCTCCAACACTCGCGTAGAGGAGTAGTGTGAGCAACCACGAGAGGGCATACAGAGGGAGGTGTGAGCGAGTTGACAGCGGAGGATGACGTCACGTCACGGGTGCTGTAAAGGGGGTGTACCTTCGGGAACAAAGGCGGGTCCGAGTTAGGGGGAGGAGCCGCCCAGGGAGTACTTAAGGGAGACCCCGTGACGAGGGCGTGGTCGTTGTGGGAGCCCGAAGTAAGGATCGGCCGCAGGAGGTCTCTCCCGCTCGTCGCCGGACGATGTTGGCTGAACCCCCGTCCGGGGCAGCGGGGCAGACGAGTGCAAGAGCCGAGGGGATAGCCGAGAGTAAGGCTCCTCGTTGGGGGCCGTCCATAAATGACGTCACGCGATTTTGGACGATTTTTGACCCCCCTTCGTCACACGGCGTCACAAAAAGTCAGACCCCCCCCCTCAAATATGACGTCACAAACTTCTGCCCCCCCCCCCAAAAAAATAAAACACGCTTCAACTCGCTTTAAACTATTGTCATTGTAGAGCGTATTTAATGTGCCGCTGCCCTCTGATGTAGGAGAGAGCATTTATTTAAAAAGTCTAATTAAGTGGAACGTGTTGTTTATATTTAAAGCTGCGCATTTTTATGTGATGTCACATTTCTCAAACCCCCCTTCCCCACCACGTCACACATCGTCACAAATGTCTGACCCCCCCCCCCCTAGGTGCGTGACGTCATTTATGGACGGCCCCCTTGTCGGGATAGCCGAGGGTGGTACGACATGTTGTTGGGGGGTCCAGGGTAAGGAGCAAGAATAGAGAGCACCTACCCCTGGTGTGATGATGAGCTTGAGTGCTGAATATAAGTGTGTTTAATAAACGGCAACAGCCCTTTTATAGTAAATTCCGTCTCCGCGTGGTTCTACAATACAACACTAGTAACGAATTGCCACGTTTTGTTTTCGTTTGCATACTATTCGTCGCCAAAGCCTACTCGTTAAAATCCCCCCGTACAGCCTGAACAGACTGGTTGGTGCAAGTGCTGATAGCGAGTAGCAACCCATGAAGGACCGGCACTGTGGCACACGAGGGGGCGGGTGGCCAGCGACCACGCCCGGCCGCCTTTGTCTCCCCAGTGGCGAGATGTTTACACACCGCACCAGGTACTCGTTTTGAGGCTGAGTCGACCTAGGGGAGACCCAGCACCGGTTCAGATAATCGTCACTTGGTGTTGGCCGTGAGCGGTAATCGAACTCGGCCCGCCGGGTTCGTAGCGCAGCTACACACACAAAGCCGGTTCGAATCGAACGGCCGCCTTGGGTAATAACGACAACAACGGTACACAGCACGACAGGTGCGTGCAAAATACAGGACGACTACTACTACTCTGGTACACGATGACAAAAAAAATCAGAATAACTGACGCTTTCTGGTAATAAACCGGTGTTCAAGATGTTTCACCCTTTTGCAAGGCGTCAAGTCTGCATTAACCACACGTACTCATTGTCGGAAAGGGTCAGACTGATTTTTTTAAAGTATAATTTTGATAATGGCAAAGATATCCCACAAGATACTACAGGACACACAACTACCTTGCTGATATCGCCAAGGAGTAAAAACGCAACTCCGCTCATCCTCGCTAGAGCAGCGTCTTTTGGCTAAGCCATGGAACGGTCACCGTGGCCGTCTGGAACGTGCTCTTCCATTCCGAGATTAGGAAGCCACTGGATTGATAACGTATTTGTTCGGACCTGCTTTTTGTGTTGAGTTGTCCTTACCCCGCACCTCTCAATTAGCACGCTTGGCTACGTACGGTGGGAAAGAAGTTCAACATACAATGGAATTTGGTGAACCTACTCCCGTGAACGCCACGTGCTGTGCATGTTACATTCATCATAAAACAAAACACAATCTTCGAAGGGCCATCGACAAGGGGGCTATGCGGCCTTCCAGAGTGCACCTCCTCGGTGTCTGCGTCACGCTGAGCCACTCGGGGTGAAACCGCACAGGCGACGCACTTTTTAAACGATCTCGAGTGAAAAACTCACTTCTCTACAAACGCTTTTTTTCCTTGCGTTGAGTTGTGTCGTCCTCCCCACACCACCACCACCACCACACCACCAGCCTCCCCACGACCACGGTTGGCTACGTACGGATCGCTAAGATCTCGCGAGCGAGCGAGAGATGGCGCGTTGCGGAAGGGAGCCACCGGCATCCATCCAGCAGTGGATCGACCATGACCGGCGGTGACGACGGCGACGAGGGTTGCTCGTGTGCGCTCACCTGAGCCACACAGGTGAAGAAATCCACGATTGGCTCGACCACGGCCCTGAGGATGGCGTTGGTGACCCGCTTGCCGCATAGACATTCCATGCAGCCAGCCACCTTCAGCGCCTCCGAAGCCATGGCCTTGGGCTATGTTTGTCTTGTTGTGTGGTGGTGGTGGTGTTGTCTTGGTGTGTGTGTTGTTATTGTCTTGGTGTGTGGGTGTTGTTGCTGTCTTGGTGTGTGTGTTGTGGTGGTGCTGTATTGGTGTGTGTGGTGGTGGTGTTGTCTTGGTGTGTGGTGGTGTTGTCTTGGTGGTGTGGTGTGTTGTCTTGTGTGTGTGTGGTGTTGTCTTGGTGTGTGTGGTGGTGTTGTCTTGGTGTGTGTGGTGTTGTTGTCTTGGTGTGTGTGGTGTTGTGTTGGTGTGTGTGTGTGGTGGTGTTGTTTTGGTGTGTGGTGTTGTTGTCTTGTTGTGTGTGTGGTGGTGTTGTCTTGGTGTGTGTGGGTGTTGTCTTGGTGTGTGTGGTGTTGTTGTCTTGGTGTGTGTGGTGTTGTGTTGGTGTGTGTGTGTGGTGGTGTTGTCTTGGTGTGTGTGGTGTTGTTGTCTTGGTGTGTTGTGGTGTTGTGTTGGTGTGTGTGTGGTGTTGTCTTGGTGTGTGTGTGTGGTGTTGTCTTGGTGTGTGTGGTGTTGTTGTCTTGGTGTGTGTGGTGGTGGTGTCTTGGTGTGTGTGGTGTTGTTGTCTTGGTGTGTGTGGTGTTGTGTTGGTGTGTGTGTGTGGTGGTGTTGTCTTGGTGTGTGTGGTGTTGTTGTCTTGTTGTGTGTGTGGTGTTGTTGTCTTGGTGTGTGTGTGGTGTTGTCTTGGTGTGTGTGGTGTTGTGTTGTCTTGGTGTGTGTGGTGGTGTTGTGTTGGTGTGTGTGGTGGTGTTGTCTTGCTGTGTGGTGTTGTCTTGGTGTGTGTGGTGGTGTTGTCTTGGTGTGTGTGGTGGTGGTGTTGTCTTTGTGTGTGTGGTGTTGTCTTGGTGTGTGTGGTGTTGTCTTGGTGTGTGTGTGTGGTGGTGTTGTCTTGGTGTGTGTGGTGGTGTTGTCTTGGTGTGTGGTGTTGTCTTGGTGTGTGTGTGTGGTGGTGTTGTCTTGGTGTGTGTGGTGGTGTTGTCTTGGTGTGTGGTGGTGGTGTTGTCTTGGTGTGTGGTGGTGTTGTCTTGGTGTGTGTGGTGGTGTTGTCTTGGTGTGTGTGGTGGTGGTGTTGTCTTGGTGTGTGTGTGTGTTGTTGTCTTGGTGTGTGTGTGTGGTGGTTTGTCTTGGTGTGTGTGGTGGTGTTGTCTTGGTGTGTGGTGGTGGTGTTGTCTTGGTGTGTGTGTGGTGTTGTCTTGGTGTGTGGTGGTGTTGTTGTCTTGGTGTGTGGTGGTGGTGTTGTCTTGGTGTGTGTGGTGGTGTTGTCTTGGTGTGTGTGGTGGTGTTGTCTTGGTGTGTGTGGTGGTGTTGTCTTGGTGTGTGTGGTGGTGTTGTCTTGGTGTGTGTGGTGGTGGTGTTGTCTTGGTGTGTGTGTGTGGTGGTGTTGTCTTGGTGTGTGGTGGTGGTGTTGTCTTGGTGTGTGTGGTGGTGTTGTCTTGGTGTGTGTGGTGGTGTTGTCTTGGTGTGTGTGTGTGGTGGTGTTGTCTTGGTGTGTGTGTGGTGGTGTTGTCTTGGTGTGTGTGGTGGTGTTGTCTTGGTGTGTGTGGTGGTGGTGTCGTGTAGTACTGTACATACAGTATAGAGTACTGTACATACAGTATAGAGTACTGTACATACAGTATAGAGTACTGTACATACAGTATAGAGTACTGTACATACAGTATAGAGTACTGTATATACAGTATATAGTACTGTATATACAGTATATAGTACTGTATATATATACACACTGCCGTGCGTTTAAACGATCCCCGAGCCTTCAAACGGCTTCAGCAGAGTCGGTTGACTCCACTGCGACTCGGACTTCGTTCGCACCGTACGTTGCCCAACAGTTTTATTTAAAAAAACACACAAAAAAAATCACGTTGGGGAGGAATCCAAGACGCGCATTTAGTTTGACGACGACGACGTTCTAGACTTCTAGATTTCGTGGGCGTCTTGGATTTTGCGGCGATCGTTATCGACGGTGGTGTAGGGGGTGAATAAGAAGAAGAAGATGGTGGTGGTGACAGCCCAACTGTGAACCGACGTCGTTGGGCGAACGTCCGTGTCCCAATTCGAGTGGCCGCGCGCTCTTCACGTTCCTTCCTCGTTGAGTCGCCACGCAGGACGAGATTCCTTCTCTCGGTCTCTCGGGAGGCGGATCGGAAGAGTTTGGGGGAGGAGGGGGGGGGCGGTCTGAGTGCCTTTCTCTCTTTCAACCATTGAGGTGGTGAAAGGCACGCGGCCCTCTTCCTCGGCTGTGGTGTGAGCTGTGGTGTGAGATGCAGGCACGTGGCTGTGGTGTGAGCTGTGGTGTGAGCAGCAGGCACGTGGCTGTGGTGTGAGCAGCAGGCACGTGGCTGTGGTGTGAGCTGTGTGTGAGCAGCTGTCACGTGGCTGTGGTGTGAGCAGCAGGCACGTGGCTGTGGTGTGAGCTGTGGTGTGAGCAGCAGTCACGTGGCTGTGGTGTGAGCAGCAGTCACGTGGCTGTGGTGTGAGCTGTGGTGTGAGCAGCAGGCACGTGGCTGTGGTGTGAGCAGCTGTCACGTGGCTGTGGTGTGAGCAGCAGGCACGTGGCTGTGGTGTGAGCTGTGGTGTGAGCAGCAGGCACGTGGCTGAGCGCAAGGCGACACGCGAACCGCAGCGTGAAGATAACGAGGAGGAGGAGGAGGGGAAGATGAAGGCGCAGGGAAGGATGAAGGAGGAAGCGGGGCATACAAAGGAGAAGGAGGAACGTTCACATAAGAAGGAAGGGTGTGAGAAGGAAGAAGAGGGGCATAAACGGGAGGAGAGGAAGGAGGAGGGGAGGAAGGAGGCGGAGGAAGGATGAGAGAAAGAAGGAGGGGAGGAAGGAGGAGGGGAGGAAGAGAGGAAGGAGGGAGGAGAGGAAAGAGGAAGGAGGAGAGGGGGGAAGAGGAGAGAAGAGGAAGGGGAAGAGGAGGAGAGGAGAGGAGAGGAAGAGAGAGGAAGGGAGGAAGGAAGAGAGAGAAGAGAGAGAGGAAGAGGAGGGAGAAGGAGGAGAGGAAGGAGGGGAGGACGGAGGAGAGGAAGGAGGGGAGGAAGAAGGAGAGGAAGAGGGAGGAAGAGGAGGAGGAGAGGAGAGAAGGAGGAGGAGAGGAAGCAGGAAGGAGGAGGAGAGAGGAAGGAGAGAGGAAGGAGGAGGGGAGGAAGGAGAGGAAGAGGGAGAAGGAGAGGAGGAGGAGGGAGGAGAGAAGGAAGGGAGGGAGGAGAGGAGGAGGAGGGAGGAAGAAGGAGGAGAGGAAGGAGGAGAGGAAAGAGGAGGGGAAAGAGGGTAGGAAGAAGGAGAGGAAAGAGGGGAGGAAGGAGGAAGGGAGGAAGAAGGAGGAGAGGAAGGAGGAGGGGAGGAAGGAGGAGAGGAAGGAGGAGAGGAAAGAGGAGGGAGGAGAGGAGGAAGAAGGAGGAGATGAAAGAGGGGAGGAAGGAGGAGGGGAGGAAGGAGGGGAGGAAGGAGGAGAGGAAGGAGGAGAGGAAGGAGGAGGGGAGGAAGAAGGAGGAGAGGAAGGAGGAGGGGAGGAAGAAGGAGGATAGGAAGGAGGAGGGTAGGAAGAAGGAGGAGAGGAAGGAGGAGGGGAAGGAGGAGGGGAGGAAGAAGGAGGAGAGAGAAAGAGGAGGGGAAAGAGGGTAGGAAGAAGGAGAGGAAAGAGGGGAGGAAGGAGGAGGGGAGGAAGGAGGAGAGGAAAGAGGGGAGGAAGAAGGAGGAGGAGATGAAAGAGGGGAGGAAGGAGGAGGGGAGGAAGAAGGAGGAGAGGAAGGAGGAGGGGAGGAAGGAGGAGGGAGGAAGAAGGAGGAGAGGAAAGAAGAGGGGAGGAAGAAGGAGGAGAGGAAGCAGGGAGAACAGTCACATAAGAAGGAAGCCGGGAAGAAAGAATGCGATTTGCATAAGAAGGAGGAGGAGGGGAGGAGTAAGAAGGTGGACGAGGGGCAGAGGAAGCGGGAGGAGAAGAGGGGGAAGGTCCCGTCGCGTGGCAGCGCGGCCGTCAGGAGAGTCGTCTTGCGGCAGGGCGCGCCACGCAGCAGGGAGAGGAGGGCCCCTCCTGCCACGAGCACGCGGCAGGGAGCCACGGGGGCGACGGTGCTCGCCGATGCCAAGGACAGCGGGAAAACGGAGAAGGGCAAAGCTTCCACGCGAGGACCTGCCCCCCCTCCTGGCCCCCCTCCTGGCCCCCCTCCTGGCCCCCTCCTGGCCCCCCTCCTGGCCCCCCTCCTGCCCCCCCTCCTGCCCCCCTCCAGGCCCCCCTCGCGCTCAACTTCGTGGCCCCCGCGGCGCGCGCAAGAAACCAGCCCGGACAGGTTTGGCTGCGGATGAGCGAGTGCGCAGTCAGTCCCATTACTTGCGATCTCCACGGTGGCGGATGTTATCTCCCTCGCCTGGTGTACGTGAAGTTGTGGGTTCGACCCCGACCCTGATGCCTCTATATTTGGAGTCTGCACGTCTCTCTCCCCATGGCCGTGCGGATTTTTTTTCCTCCGGGTCCTCCGGGTTTACCCCGCCACATTTAGAAATGTGCGTTTGGAGTATTTGGCTCCTAGAAATGTCAACGTGATAAGGGGCCGTCCATAAATGACGTCACGCACCTAAGGGAGGGGGGGTCAGACATTTGTGACTGTGTGACGAGGGGGAGGGGGGGTTTGAGAAATCTGACGTCACATCCAAATGCGCAACTTTAAATATATATAGACAACACGTCCTACTTAATTAAATAGACTTTTTAATAAATGTTTTCTCCTACAACATCAGAGTGCAGCGCCACATTAAATACACACTACAATGACAATAGCTTAAAGCGATTTGAAGCATACTCTTGGTTCTTTCGGTAAAGTCACGTAGAAGGGAAATAATAAAATAATACAAATATAAAATACAATAAAATTGTCACGACGTTTCGACTGCAACACAAGCAATCATCATCAGGTGTGAAAACCACAGCAATAAATTTTGAAAAAAGTGGCGGGTTTTTTTTTCAAATTTTCTTGCTGTGGTTTTCACACTGATGATGATTGTGTTGCAGTCGAAACGTCGTGATAATTTAATTGTTTTATATTTTTATTATTTTATTGTTTCCCTTCTACGTGACTTTACCGAAAGAACCAAGAATATGAATCCCTGCAGTCACGAAAGCTTTAAATCAAGATTTGAAGCATGTTTTATTTTCTTGGGGAGAGGTGGGGCAGAGCTTTGTGACGTCATTTGAGGGGGGGGGGTCTGACTTTTTGTGACGCCGTGTGACGAAGGTGGGGGGGGTTCAAAAATCGTCCAAAATCACGTGACATCATTTATGAACGGCCCCTAAGTCACTTGTGGAGTTTTGAAGTTTGCGTGTCTTTCTTCCCGTGGTGGCGTGGATTTGTCTCCGTGTCCTCCGCGGTTTCCCTCCACGATTAGAATCGACATCCACGCGTGTCGAATAGTTGACTGCAATACATTTCCGCAGCATTCGCCAAGCCGTTGAGTTATCATTTGAGGTCAGATCCCTTCTGAAGCAGAGCTACAGAGCTCAGTTTGGTCTTACCTGGTCAAAAACAAAATAGTTTCTAGTTTCGCCTGTGCGTGTGTTACTGTGACATGTGTTCGTCATGTGTAGCTACGTGAGTCACGGCATGTGTGCTGTGCTCATGTGTGCAACATGTGCATGTCAGATGCGTGATGGGTACACATTACATGTGCTCGTCACGTGTGTGACATGTGCTAGTTCCCTGTGACATGCGTGCCACGTGTATGCGATATGTACTTGTCATGTATGCACATGCTTGTCGTGTGTGTGTGTGTGACATGTTCCTGTCATGTGTGTGACGATGTGGCTGTGATATACGTCGGTGCCACGTGTGTTCCACAAGCGTGACGAGTACATGTGCCATGTGTAACTTGTGTGAGTGGCACGTGTGTAGTCCTGATCCTCCCCCAAGGTCGACTCGGCCTCAAATGAGCACCTGGCGCGGTGTGTAAACATCGCCACTGGGGAGACAAAGGCGGTCGGGCGTGGTGCCGGCCAACCCACCCCCTCGTGTGCCGTGCCGGCCTTAATACGTTTGCTACTCGCTGGCGGCACTTGCCCCGACAGTCTGTGAAGGCTATGCGGGGGGATTTTTGCCTTTGTTTGTGTCACAAGGACTGCAGCTGCTGATGGAGTCTGCACTGCCAGGGTTCGTCTCGCGCTATCTGCTGAGTCCGCCGTGGCAGCACCGCATGCTGAAGATCCTCATCAATGGGATTTTGGGGATTCTCATCGGACAGGGTAATGCAGTAGTAATAATAATAATGTTACATTCGTAGTAATAATGTTTTAATTTTATATCGCGGCTTTGTCGTTGGCGCAAAATTTGAATCTCGAGACGCTGAAGGATTTTAATTTGAGGCGCGGGAAATCGCGCGCTAAGCGGGGAAGGCAGCCAGAAACAATTGTCCGAGCTCTGTGGTCCTATATTAGGATGTTTGGTCAGCTCCATTAATGAGTGTTCATAGGTGCAGGAGGAAACCGAAGGACCGGGAGAAGCTCCATGCTTGTAATGGGGGGGTGGGGGGGTGACACGTTTTGGTCTCGATGTAGCCCAGGTCACCCTTTACAACAACAAAAAGCCACGCTGTTTTACGCCTCTCGATGAGGGGTTCCCCCCCATCTGGTTAAATATGAAACAACAACCAACCAATCGCCGTACAGGTGGAATACAGATGGAAAGTATTCCTATGGCGCGAGCGAGTTTACCCATAGGACAGCCGCTCTTCCTTCTGTCTTGCTGCCCTGATGCAGGCGCCGTGTGGTGACGTCGCCATCACTTAGTGGCCAAGTGGCGGGTCTTGGTATATATATGTCTTGGCGATAGCACGTGCGCCCATACTCGATATGTTGCGTGCCTGCCCGCGTCCGTTCCCGTCCCGTTCAGCTTGCTACTACGTGACCCTGGACTGGACCGGCATGCAAGCCGCCTACAAATTGCTGGTGCTCGTGTTTCTTACCGGTGCGTTACCTCGTCGGCTACGTTGTTGCTGCTGCTGTTGATGATGATGATGATATATTTGAAATTATGATTTAAAACGATGATGGCGATGTAGATAAATATGATATGAGAGTGAGTGCTGATTGAGTGCTGTTTTAGCACAGTTGGCTATGTACGGTGCGAAAGAAGTTCAACATACAAACATCCAAGAGCAATGACAGCTGTGATAATGATAATTCCATTGCTGTCAACAATTGTGACGGCACTGCCGATGATGATGATGACCAAAACGATTTAGGAGATGATGTTTCTGACGATAACGACGATGCAGATGTTGATAATTCTCATAACCGCGATGCAGATGATGAAGATTTATTTAAAGAGGTGACGATGACGATTCCATTTCATACCAACGATTGTGACGACACTGATAACGGCAAAATCTAACGAGGTCGACGATCATTCCGACGATGATGATGACGATGACGACGATGATGACGACGATGATGATGATGATGATGACGACGATGACGATTTTGATGACGACGATGATGACGACGATGATGACGACGACAATGACGACGACGACGATGACGACGATGATGATCTAAAAGCGGGCAAACCCCCGCCCCGCTGCTCTCCCCCCACAGTTTTCTTCGGCTTTGGCTGGGCCTTCTCGCGGCACGTGCGCTGCAGCACGGTGCTCATGGCACCCTGCGTCTGCAGTAACGTGGGCTGCTCCGTCATCATGGCCATTGCCGCTAGCCTGCTCTTCACCGGTGTGTGCGCGCGCGAGCCCGCGGGGGTCCACCGGCTAACGATGGGATGCTTTTGCCAGCGCGCCTCTCGGATTTGTCAGAACGCTTTGACTTTGCAAATTAGACAGTCGGAGTCGTGAGATACATTTAAGTCTGACTTGAAAACTCACCTCTGTAAACTGGCCTTAACCTCCTCCCCTGCACCCCCCCCCCTACCCAGGTTCTGGCCGTGTACCCTGCAGGTTCTGTTTGTTTCCTGCATTCCATACACGGTGGCACATTGGGATCTGCGGATGAATGCGCCTTGCAAATGTAGATTATTATTGTTGTTGTTATGATTGGCCCGCTGGGCCACGCGACGCGGAGACGTGGTGTCCACATGGTTAAAGATCGCACGGCGTTTTGAGACGCAGCTGTATGAATGGCGCTGTCTCAATCGAACAGCATTTTTTTTTTACTATTACACAGCTTGGACCTCCTCATGTAAATGAGGAAGAAACACAATTTGTGTTGTTATAGTTATGTCGACAACCTACTTATTGTACTGCCTCCTAGACACCTTGAGGACAGCTCATTGCTTCTTCCCATCCTCGCAGCGGGTTTTGGAGGGTCACTGCATCGCGTGCTTTCAGATGCGCTTCGGCGGCGATCTGGAACGCTCTTACAATATTAGGAGGCCACTGGAGCTTTGCACTTTTAAATGTCCATTGAAACTTGTTTCTTCAGACCTGCTTTTTGTGTTCAGTTTATTGTCCTTCTCCCGCACCTCCGATCAGCACGCTTAGCTACGTACGGTGGGAAAGAAGTTCAACGTAAAATGGAATTTGGTGAACCTGCTCCCTCGAACGCTACGTGCTGTGCTAGATACGACTTTTTTCAGTCAAAAAACATGTTACATTTATTATAAAACAAAACACAATCTTCAAAGGGCCATCGACAAAGGCTATGCGGCCTTCCAGAGTGCACCTCCTCCGTCCCATTGATGGCAAGTGACTCGGGTTAAACTGCACAGTAGTGATTTTTATTACACGTTATTGTTGTTTGACCATACTTCACCATGCTGGTCAGTGCGAGTTGTTGAAAGGAAACTTGTAAATATGAAATGCCTTTGGGTGTACCGCGTTGTACCGTGTCCCGTCGTACTCAGGGCCCATGACGAACATGATGCTGAACGCCAAGGAGAGCGGACAGTCACTCGCCTGTCTAGGCCAGCAGCAGATCGAGCACGCCAAGGTCATCGTCATGATCGCGGCGGCGCCCGTCCGGACCCTCTTCGACAAACTCATAGTGGGTGAAAGCCTCGCTGTGCCATCTGTATGTGGCCACGTACGGCGCGAAAGAAGTTCTGCACATTTAGCGCATTTCGGGTGATTCTGTTAAAGGCGATGCGTGTCTTATATACAATAACAAGATTGTCAAAGACCAAATGCGTCTCAAAACTTGGTATGTACAGTGAGGGAAAAAGCATTTGATCCCCTGTTGATTTTGTACGTTTGCCCACTGACAAAGAAATGATCAGTCTATAATTTTAATGGTAGGTTTATTTGAACAGTGAGAGAGAATAACAACAACAAAATCCAGAAAAACGCATTTCAAAATGTTAGGAATTGATTTGCATTTTAATGAGGGAAATAAGTATTTGACCCCTCTGCAAAACATGACTTAGTACTTGGTGGAAAAAGCCTTGTTGGCAGTCACAGAGGTCAGACGTTTCTTGTAGTTGGCCACCAGGTTTGAACACATCTCAGGAGAGATTTTGTCCCACTCCTCTTTGCAGATCTTCTCCAAGTCATTAAGGTTTCGAGGCTGACGTTTGGCAACTCGAACCTTCAGCTCCCTCCACAGATTTTTTTATGGGATTAAGGTCTGGAGACTGGCTAGGCCACTCCAAGACCTTAATGTGCTTCTTCTTGAGCCACTCCTTTGTTGCCTTGGCCGTGTGTTTTGGGTCATTGTCATGCTGGAATACCCATCCACGACCCATTTTCAATTCCCTGGCTGAGGGAAGGAGGTTCTCAGCCAAGATTTGATGGTACATGGCCCCGTCCATCGTCCCTTTGATGCGGTGAAGTTGTCCTGTTCCCTTAGCAGAAAAACACCCCCAAAGCATAATGTTTCAACCTCCATGTTTGACGGTGGGGATGGTGTTCTTGGGGTCATAGGCAGCATTCCTCCTCCAAACACGGCGAGTTGAGTTGATGCCAAATAGCTCCATTTTGGTCTCATCTGACCACAACACTTTCACCCAGTTGTCCTCTGAATCATTCAGATGTTCATTGGCACACTTCAGACGGACATGTATATGTGCTTTCTTGAGCAGGGGGACCTTGCGGGCGCTGCAGGATTTCAGTTCTTCACGGCGTAGTGTGTTACCAATTGTTTTCTTGGTGACTATGGTCCCAGCTGCCTTGAGATCATTGACAAGATCCTCCCGTGTAGTTCTGGGTTGATTCCTCACCGTTCTCATGATCATTGCAACTCCACGAGGTGAGATCTTGCATGGAGCCCCAGGCCGAGGGAGATTGACAGTTCTTTTGTGTTTCTTCCATTTGCGAATAATCGCACCGACTGTTGTCACCTTCTCACCAAGCTGCTTGGCAATGGTCTTGTAGCCCATTCCAGTCTTGTGTAGGTCTACAATCTTGTCCCTGACATCCTTGGATAGCTGTTTGGTCTTGGCCATGGTGGAGAGTTTGGAATCTGATTGATTGATTGCTTCTGTGGACAGAGATTAGGAGCACTCCCTTTAAGTGTGCTCCTAATCTCAGCTCATTACCTGTATAAAAGACACCTGGGAGTCAGAAATCCTTCTGATTGAGAGGGGGTCAAATACTTATTTCCCTCATTAAAATGCAAATCAATTTATAACATTTTCAACATGCGTTTTTCTGGATTTTGTTGTTATTCTGTCTCTCACTGTTCAAATAAACCTACCATTAAAATTATAGACTGATCATTTCTGTCAGTGGGCAAACGTACTAAATCAGCAGGGGATCAAATACTTTTTTCCCTCACTATATGTAGTATGTGGAATTTATTTCGCACCGTACGTGGCCAACCGTGGTAGTCTGAGCTGGTAAGGCCCAATTGGCTAAAGGAATCACCCAGAGTGACCCGGAATTTCATCCGAAGGAGCCCAGCTGTTCCAGGAATGATGTTGGCATGCCACATTCATCTCGCCTTATTTTGTCGTGACACCACAGTGCGATGTGGGGTGGCATGCTTCTGGTTAACGTGAACACGTTGATAGGGTCATACGAATATAGGGTACAACAATACTAGCAGCTGGTTACGGATTGGGTGTAGCTTGTGCTCTCTAGCGGCAGTGCCCTCTTCCGGTAATCCCTACCCCGAGTCAGCCTTTGCGGCGCCGTGGAAAATAGTCGAGCAAGAGACGGTGAGCCTCGCGTAGGCTTTGCTTGTGTCCCTGCACGCACCCCTCACCCCCCCTCCGCCACGCAGGCCGCCTCCAAGGACCTCGAGAAGAGCAGCGACGAGGCCAAGGAGCTCTTCCAGCTCATCAAACAGGAGGTGCTCGGTGGCAAGAGCTCGGACGGTGGAGGCAAAACGAAGAGAGACGCCGCCCAGCAACAGCAGCAGGAGGACGGCCAGCAGCTGCAGCCGCAGCCGCAGCAGCAGCAGCAGGACAGACGGCAGCAGCAGCAAGAAATTGAGGCGAAATACATCAGCAGGGTTCGCTTTCGGTGCTGGGGTGCGTAACGCGTGCGAACCGCTTTTTCAGTTGGGGGGGGGGGGGATCGCTCACTCTCTTCGGCTGTATGTGCGCATGTTGAACTTCTTTCGCGCCGTACGTAGCCAGCGGTGCTAATGGAAGGTGCGGGGGAAGGACAACAAACTGCCTACCCCCCCCCCCTTCTCCTCCCCCCGGATTCTGGGGGGGAGTTGGGAAGAGGCAGGTGGGGGACGATCATCAACAACGATGCAACGGACTCATTGCAATGCGCGCCCGGAACATAACAGACGCCCTGGATAACACGAGCTGGTGTGCGGTGGTTCTGCGTGAGGGACGAGATCGTTGATCCCGGTATATGGCTGCAGGCATGACGGCCTCCTACCACCTTTGCTCTGCTCTTAGCAGCCTTGTGCTCTCTCTCAATCTTTTTTTTTAAACTTAATTCTGATTTTTAAAAAATATTTCAGCCCACCAAAAATGTATTTAAGCCACTCCTAAAGAATATTTATCCCACCACTTATGGCAGATAGCATTGTCAATGGTAGACATTCAGATATCGTGACTTCAAATACACATGCAGCATGCTCAGCTTATCAATTACTTTGAGATGCAGCATTCCTGTATCGCTGAATAAATGCATCGACATATTTACACGAGGAGAACACGTATTGATATTGAGATTAGTTCTGTGATATCTGCTTCCGTGGGCCATTATCCAACACGTGGTGTTGGCACCGTGCAGACGTGTTTGAGAAGGGCGTGGAAAAATGCAGGGAGATGTTTACGCGGAAGTGGGACGAGTGCTTGGACACGATCGTGGTTCCCCTCATCAACCACATCCTGTGTCTCCCGCTCAAGTTTGACTTCCTGTGCCCCATCATACACGGTGAGTGGCTCTCTCTCACCGCACTTACCAACACACACTCATCACCACTCGCCAGACACTCTCATCGCTCGGCACTAACCTGACGCTCACACTCATCACTCACCCCTCGCCAAAATACTCACACTCGTCATTCGCCACGTACCAAACTCGCCTCTTCCCAAACCCTGACCCTCACCATACATCGTAATCGCACCTTGAAAGATGATCTCGTGGCAAACCCAGGAGTTGCACCGCGAGTGGCATTGCCACTTCACCGTAATCATCATCACGCCCATAATGGTCGTCGCGATCATAGTCATCAGCTGGAACATCATCGTCACGGTTTGCTGTTCTTGTGTTCGCCAGTTTTCGATGGGTGGTGCGAGACAAACATCCCCATGTTGAAAGATTTCGGCGATGTCTACGACAGGATTCAGCAATCCATTGCGCAGCTGAAGGAGCAGTTCATGATGAATCCGCAAGTCGAGGTGAGACCGGAGTGCATCCGACACCGCTCACGTGGACTCGCGATCGCGAGATGACGACGTCGTCCACATCGGCGTGAATCACGGCAGCGCAGCGGCCGAGATCAGAGCTTCTCAAACAAGGGAAAATCATTTTGACTTCAAACTTTCGTGACTGCAGCAATTCATAGTCTTGCTTCTTTCGGAAAAGTCACGTAGATAGAAAATGAAATTAAAATTTAGAATAAAAGCAAAAAACCCACGACGTTTCGATCGCCTGATGAAGGCAGCTCGTGTTGCGATCGAAATGTCATCAGTTTTTTGCTTTTCATATTTTTATTTTCTATCTACGTGACTTTACCGAAAGATCCAAGAATAAGGAAAAAATAAAATGAATAAAATACGAACAATCTCTCCTCTTCACGTACGCTCCTCCCCCCTCCACCACCTCGCCACCTCCTCCCTTTGCCCTCCGCCTCTCTTCCTCGTCCCACCAGTACACACAGCAGCCGATGTCGGTGGATGAGGACGCGGTGAAGGGCATGCTGACCAACATCCGCAGCAGCATCAACAGCCAGGTGTCCAAGGTCATGGCCTTCGTCAAGGTCTTGCAGATGCTGCTGGGGCTCGTCGGCGTCGTCCTCTACAGCGCGTGCGTTCCCGTCGCCAGTGCCTTCGCACGATCGACGCGGCGTCGTGGCACCGAGCCAGGCTTATTCGTGTCACTCATTTATTTCCCAAAGCAGGATTTGTTCACAAAAATCCAGACGCCCCATGGCACCACGCCTCTCACGTTTGTCCATCGTTTCTCCGATAAAATCTGGACCTGGCAGCAGTATTCGTCAGCTGAAATTACAATTATCATTGCATTGCAGTTTTAATCAGGAAAAGGGCACGATTATAAATGTGGCACGCGGCTGATGATCGGCTTGGAATCGAATTCAGGTCGCCGGTTTTCAAGCGCAGTGCGCAAAGCCCTTTGCCGTCCGTGCAACTTGGGCTATTCAATCGTCGATTAATGAATATATAAAATCAATGTTAACGTGAATATATCTCCCAAGGTTAGCAGTAGCACAACGCGAAATGACGTCACTGCATGTACAGGATGAGATGAATGGGCGGAAACTTCACCTCGACACCAACGCGCCGTGTCGCCGCGCGTAAACGTGCCTCCGCTTTTCCACCTCGCAGACGCCCGTGTGCTCGCTGTCACCCTGCAGGTGTTCGGGCTACGTGAACAAATACAACGGGGACGTTGTCCACGACAATATGTACCTGACGCGCTACTTCAGAATCATCGACGCCAGGAGACGCGCCAAGGTCGGAGAGCCTTCCCAGTTCGCATTTGTTTTATTTCATTCCTCGGCTGTCTCACGTTCGTCCCCGTCCACCCAGGGGCAAAGGGGGGTCGGCAACCTGCGGCTCAGGAGCCGCATGCGACTCTTTACGGACTGCCTCGTGATGTAGTGCACGTGCACGTATTCACACGCAACGCAGCCCTTGAAATATTGTGCTTTGTCCAGAATTCCCCCCCCCCCCCCACCAAAATGGCTCTTCTTGTCTATTTGGTTGTAGACCCCTGACCTAGGGCAATGACACGCATCTCCATGCGGCTCTTTCACGCTCGCGCTTGTTACGGCTCCCCCGATGGGATCTTCTCCTTGTTGTTCTTGTTCGGCACGATGCCTCCCCGCGTTTCCTACAGCAGTAACTCTCGGCACGTGAAGCCCAACGTCGGATTATCGACCCAACGCCAGCGCTCGCTGTCGCTGGCCGGTGTCGCGTAACGCCGCGTAACGCCGCGTCTCCCCGTACGTGTCGCTCGCAGAAACAGCAGACGCTTCTCCCTCCCAAGCGGGCCGAGGTGGTCAAGTATGTCAACCCGTGCAGCCTGAGGATGAGCGAGGATGAGCAGAAGTCGTTTGTGAGTGCCCTTAATGAGCGAACCGCCCTGTATGCGGCCAACCTGAGGCTGCGTGGTTTAGGCGAGACGCTGCTGGTTTTCACCCCCCTCGTGTGCGTGCTGGGGTTCCTCTAAGTCCTCTAGTTTTCTCCCCGCGAGAAGCCAAACTCATTATTATTTACGCAATAATACGCATTAATATTCAGTTTTATATGGCGGCATTTATGCAACTGCATCACGCAACGCCGTGCCATCCGCAGACACGGAGGTGTGCGTATATTAAAATGCTTTCAGACAATTTCCAATTAGTCTTTTTGCATGTGGGAGGAAACCGGAACAGCCGGAGAACACCCACGTGTGCGAGGGGCAACACTCTATCCCATACAGATGGGTCAGATTAACATTGGTCCACACTTGCTGTATCGCCTTCTCCTGGTGAGCCAGGACATGGCACCTCGCTGCCGACACACAGGACGGGAGTTTCACCAACCCTCGCCTCCACAGTGCTGGACGACAGGGTGGCCACAAGCCTAGCCATTGTGCGTTGGCCACTTGTGTTTCATAGGTTCGCGGTTCGAATCGAGTGGCCGCCCTAATTATTACCGCTGGTGTTATGACCAAAATAATACGCGCCGTCTGCTTTACGGTGGACGTTCAAGATCCACAAATGGGAGCGTTAGCTCCCAAATGTACCCGCAAATGACTGAATTGTGACTATATACAGCAAGCATCACACCCTACCGGTGGAGTAATGCCCCAGGAACGCTCTTGCAAATGACACTCTATCTGGTCTCTTGAGTTATCGCCTGGTTAAACAAAATAAACCCGAACTTGTACTACACTTGCACGTGCGTACAGGTGCTCACGTGTGTCCACGCGTTTGTGATTTTGTTCTCTCCTCCTCCCCTCTATCGACCCCCTCCTCCATCCTGAGCCACCTCTAGTATTTCATGGCCGTGATCCTGGGCGTCCAGATTCTAATGATGGTCTTCCTCCTGATCGTCGACTGGTGCATCGTGGTGTTCATCAACATCTTTGCCAAACACAGCAAAGTCGAGTACAACATCAAAGGCAAGGCCACGCCCCCCACCACCAGTGTACGCGGAACGTCAGGCCAACGTTGGTGCAACGGTTCTAACCACGTGTCAAACGTCGTGTGTTTACTGGGTCCCCACCGTCCACTTCAGGCTGAGCAGAAAAGACCCCCCCCCCACCCACTGTGTGCCCCACAATGCAGTTCAGTATTCACTCGTTATTCACGAACTTTGCTGTCCACGATTTTGGCTATCCGTGAATCACATCTGGAACTCTACACGACTGCATAGAGAGAAAGAGAGAAAGTGATGAGATAAAGTGATGACATCAAGTGATGGAATAAAGTGACGATAGAGAAAGTGATGAGATAAAGACACGAGAGAGCGAGAGATAACTTATCGAAGCTTTATAAGCATCTGCAGATATTGAAACGTACAATATTCGTAGGCCAATATAATTTCTCCACAAAATGTTCCCTTCACAAGCATCTCGGGAACACATCCCTCGTTAATAACGAGGGAATGCTGTATCACAAAACAATTTAATTAAATATCAATAGACCCCGAGATGAACACATCCCTCGCGGATAACGAGGGAATGCTGTATCACAAAACAATTTGATTAAATATCAATAGACCCCGAGATGAACGCATCCCTCGTGGATAACGAGGGAATGCTGTATCACAAAACAATTTGATTAAATCTCAATAGACCCCGAGATGAACGCATCCCTCGCGGATAACGAGGGAATGCTGTATCACAAAACAATTTAATTAAATATCAATAGACCCCTGTGCAGTGCTCGCCGAGAGAGTGCTGGCACGCGCGGCTTTGACGTTTGAGAGAAAGTTTAACGCGTCGGCTTTCGCGACCAATATTCATAATAAAGGTTTTTGGGTTAGATCGCGTTATTTATAAATGTGTCGTAACCCTCCACCGCCCAACACGGCCAAACGGTAAAAAAATGTGTCACGTTTACAAAGGACAAATAGTTCACTAAAGTAGGGCTAAAGTAGTGAACTATTTGTCCTTTGTAAACGTGACACATTTTTTTACTGTTTGGCCATGTCGGGTGGTGGAGGGTTTGAGAGAAACGTACCACTGCTCTGTACGTATGTACCGTATGCCGAACGTCTTTCGCACCGTACGTAGCCAACCTTGTTAATCGGAGGTGCGGTGGCCATTCGCATCTCTCGCGCGCGATCCCAGGCGTCCACGAGCTGAGGGTCGACGTCAACGGCAAATCGATGTTGGCCAACGTGCTGAGGATACTGATGCGGGCGCTCGAAACGAACCACACAGTCAACGCGGTCTCCGATAACTACGGTGAGGAGCTGGGACCCTGGAGAGGAAACGGGGTTGGGGGGTGGTGAAGGGGGGTGGGAAGCGGGGGTTGGGGGGGTGGAGGAGGTGGGGGAGGGCCAGGGAGGGTGAGCAGGTGGAGTGGGATGAGTCGCACCCTTTTCCTTTTAAACCGCGCTACGAGCACCCTCAATGTTTGCCGCTCAGAAGCTAAGCTGGGTTGTGTTTGGCGAGTGTTTGGCGAGTGCTCGGATGAGTGACTGGGTGAACGAACCCCGGGACTTGCCAGGGGTTGGCGGCACGGGTCTGCGAGGTGTGGCCAAGGAGGCAGAAGCGTTGAGGGTCACGCACTCCGTGTGTGCGGTGGGCTGTCTCCGGGTTGTCCGCTTTTGTCACAGAGTGCCTCCCGCAGTCCAAGGCCATGAGCTGGAAGATGTACGGCCTCATCCTCGGCATCTACAGTGCGCTCGTGTTCATCATGGTCAGCCAGGGCTACGTACTGCGGCTCAGGAGGGTTATCTGTGCCTTCTTCTACCCCAAGGTGCGACGATTCCGCTCGCTTTGCCCTGCGTCGCTACGTGCCCCGGTCCTACACCGGCGGTCCTACACCCCCCCCCCCCCACCCGATGCGCCTGTAACGATGCGTCTGTCGCGATGGGCGTCAGTTCGTTGGTGAAAATTCCTTTCTCGTCGTCGCGATACGCTCCCGGAAGCGTGCACGTGAGAGTCGCAATGTTCTCGTTGAATCGTGCAGAGAGAGAAGACGCGAGTCGTTCACCTCTACAACGACTACTTGCGCCGACGGAAGGGCTTCTTGAAATTCGCCAAGAAGTTGATCGCCGCGAAGGCGAAGCAGCGCGTTAGGGTAAGTGCAGCCCCTGCCGTACGTTCTTTTGTCATCGTTTGCACGATCAGTGCCTGTGCATGGTCGCAACTTATTTCTTGCGCTGGGTTGGGTCACTGTAATTTCTACTTAAAACTCATTGTATGCATGCACGTTGAACTTATTTCGCAACTCTACGTAGCCGACCGTGCTAATTGGAGGCGCAGGGGAAGGACAACAAACTTAACGCAAAAGGCAGTTAAAAAGAAATGAGTTTTCAATCTCGATTTAAAAGTGCATCGCCCCAGCGACTTCCTAATTATTAGTACCCATTAGTATTTATTAGTACTCATTAGTACTCAGCAGTACCATTAGCATGTTACAGCCAGGTGTTCAGCTGGCATGGGATCTCCAGAATGTAGTGGCTTTGTGAATGACAGCGTTTTTTTACTTATAATTATTGATATTCTTTGCTTCAGCAGAGTAGATTACTACTGATGTAATTGTTACGAAAGAAACATAACATCACACTTTAACGAGAGGTGCACGCACGTTTATTGGTGATGCTAGAACGTCTACCGTCAACTTGGTTATTGGAAAAAATATTAAGCTGGGAGTGATGGTGTTTATGTTGATGGTCAGTGATGACGATTAGATGATTGTGAGAGTAGCGGTGTCATTTACAGTGATGATGATGTCGGTGGTAGTGGTGGTATCGTTGGCGGCACCAGCATTGATGATAAAGATAGTTAGATGATTGTGGTTGGTGAAGGTGGCAGTGTCCGTGCCAATGATGATGATGACCATGGGTGGTGGTGTGGCAGCCGTGGCATTATTGATGAAGACAACGATGATGAGGATAGCGATTGTGGTGGTGACGATGACGATGGCGGTGTTGGCGACAGTATTACTGACATTGACGACGACGACGATGACGATGCGCGCTTGCCATGCGTGCAGCCAGCGTTCTCCATCGTGAAGATGCTGGCGAGGAAGTGGCCCAAGTTCTTCGGCTGGCTGTCGCACTTCGTCTCGCGCGCCTGCGTCGTGTGCGGCCAAACGAACCCCGGTGAGCCCTTCTCCTGCCCCAACACAAAGTGCCGCTCGCTCTACTGCCGGCCGTGCTGGCGCGACGTGGGAAAGGTCTGCTACTCCTGCACCACCGACCGTGACCCGGAACGGCTCGGGCTCCGACCTAGCAAACTTCTTGGTCCACGGTGGGGACTCCACGGCGTGAGACCTCTCGGCGCGAGAGGTCGATCGGCACACTCTGGGCGACGGGGGCGGGTTGCTCGGCCACTTGGTGTGTCGGACGGCAAGCCCACGCGGACCACGGCAGGGGATTGGACCGCAAGGGTGTGGGGGGGTAAGAGGGGGACCTCCTTGGTGGGACAGGCTGTAGACTAGGAACATTCCTCACGTATGTTTGCTGCGTAAGATGTAGGAGGTGTTTTTTAGGGAAAGTTGCCAAATCACTTTTTTTTTCCCGAAGGACTTGGGTTTTGCTGGACGGGAATATTTAGTTTTCCACGCACGAATTTCATTTTATAGGACCGAAATCACCAAAAAAAAGTTATCGGAAATGTTGTAACACAGTGCTTCTGGTACACTACTATACGACTTCCACACACACTTCTCTGCATGCCCTCTTGTTTGACGTATAAATTCTCCTTTCCCAAGGTCTTTGAGGACGTGATTGTGTTGTACGCTTTCCATGCAGTCTTCTTGTTTCGTCCAGTACGGGACATCATTCATCGTCCAGCCGGGTAATGGGATGCGCTGGCACCTTGTGTGTGCAACGTATATGGCAAATATAAAATGTGAGTTGTGTTTGACTTTAAATTATAAAATTGCAAGACTAAAACTGGAGCTGTATCTTCCTTGCCTTTATTTGAAATCATTATCAACATCTTTGAAAGTGTCCACTGGCTCTGAATTTTCTACCCGTCTTCACCCTCCGAGAGAAAGAGGCCGCATTAACCGGTAAGATTTTCATGAAGAGCTTCGCATCTGACGACCACCACGCTATCACCGCACTGCACTTGTTTATACTGCAGAGTGATTAGTTGAATCGTCGCGCAAAGTCCGTGTTGTGACGCTCAATTTCGGCGGTGACATGGGGCCTCGTGGTAGCACATTCGCCGAATGTTGGAGACGTTCGCGGTTCAGTGCCAATGACAGTTCTCATTAATCCAGCGCGGTGCATTACCCGTTAAAACACATATATACATGCCATCTGCTTCACAGTGGACATGAACGATCTCGTGACGTAGTTCACAAGAGTAGGTCCACTGTGTGCCAGCTTTCTTGTCCACATTTGACACATTTGGACAATTACACGCAATTGTACACAGTGCTTCTGGTACACTATACGCATAGACATATCAGTCATTGGGCACTCCTGCGAAAGCTTGGCAAGACCCTCCTGATAAAGAGCCTCAGTGATGCTTTTCTGGGTAAACAAGCGTAAGAATAATAATAATCTACATATATAAAAGGGAAAGTTGTGATTGTGTGTCTGTTCAAAATGTTTAGCGTACTTACCGACATGCAACAAACTTGAAATTTGCCATGTGGGTACTTTCCAGACTGTACACCATGCAAAAATTATAAAATAAAAACAAATGGGGGGGGAGCTCAATAATGCATATTTTTTTGCACGGCAAGCGAGCTGTGACGTAAAATCTGTCATGTGACCCGCGCATGTGGAAGCGTAACGCATTGTAGTGTAGTGCTTAGCGCGCTGCACTACGAACCCGGCGACCCGAGTTCGATTTCCACTCACGGCCACCACCGGTGACGATTATTTGAACCGGTCCTGGGCCTCCCCTAGGTCGACTCAGCCTCAAACGAGTAACTGGTGTGGTGTGTGTGAACATCGCCACTGGGGAGACAAAGGCGGCAGGGCGTGGTGAATTCAAGTCCCGGGCGAAGCCGGGCAGTAAAAAGTGTTATCGCACGCAGCAACGGGTAAAAACACGTCAGCTTGCTGTGTCCGCTAGAGGGCGCAAAGTGTTGCGTGAAACGAAACTGTCTGAACTATTCTATCCACTTATTGCTTTTAGAACAGCATGGTAGGTTTTACCAGACCTCGATTTAGCTCAAAGTTTGTTTATTAAATCTTTGTGCTGCAATCATGTTCTAGGAGCAGAGCCAACATTTCACATTTGAATATTGTCCACGATTAGCATCGTGACAATATTACTGTTATAATACTTCCTACATGTAAAATATGTATACGTTACCAAAATAATATATTTTTTTAATGGGAGAGTTACATTGAGACATCATTTAGAGTTAGGTAAGCAGATTGCTTTCATCAAGGCTATTCAAAGCTACGTTAGAAGATGATTTACAAAAAAAATGTGATTGGAGTCCTAATGGAAAATTTAATTTGATAATGAAAAGAAAAATACCAAACTGTTTTTATTTTATCACATAAAGCTCACTGAGCTATATAGTTATTTTTCATAAGCGACCTGGCCACAAATGATAGCTCAACGAAGTGACTTATCACGTGGAAATGTATAGCAGCCAAAGACTCTAAACGCATGTTTCTAAATGTGGAGGGAAAAGCCGGAGGGCATGGAGAGAAAAATCCACGCGACCATGGGGGGAACATGCAAACTCCAAATATACAATAGGCGTCAGGGTCGGGATGGAACCCACGACCCACTATTAACATCTCGCCACCGTGGTGCCCTATGCACCTAAATAACGTTTTTTAACCATTGCATTTACCCGCTATGTATGAAACGTGAGTAATTATAACTTACTGGATTACAGAACATGGATTTGAGAATGGAAACTAGAGACATTGATGGCTAGGTGAGGTAATGGAACTTGGGCAGGAGACATTGCTATGATGGCCAATGCACGAGATTCGTGATGGAATGACATCCGAACGAGGTAGCCCGCCCAAGAGGATGATCACCACACAGCAATGGAGCGATAAGGTTAGCTAATGTGGGCGAGTGAGATACATCATGGCATCGCAAGACTGTGAGGGATGGCGACAACATGGAGAGGCATTCGTGTAGCAGTGGATAGGTCATGGCTCAGTAATTTGCATAATAGGTAATAGATGTAACTTGCAAGTAAAACAGCAAAATAACTTTTGATACACTCAAATATAATTTATTGTGTAAAAATAACTCGCGCTTAAACAATCTACAAACTCTTCATCGTCTGGGATGTGACTTCTCTCGAACGAGTGGCTTGTCGTGCTAAGCAAACATTCACGCCTGTCGTGGAGCGGTGCAAAGTCTGGATTATTGCATCACAGTTGAGCTTGTGCTTTGGGCATCCACCACATATAATTTCCTACTTTATCTACCGGTCCATGCTTTAGAATTTTCTAACTTCCTCCTAAACCCACAGTGAGGGAAAAAAGTATTTGATCCCCTGCTGATTTTGTATGTTTGCCCACTGACAAAGAAATAATCAGTCTATAATTTTAATGGTAGGTTTATTTGAACAGTGACAGACAGAACAACAAAAAAATCCAGAAAAACGCATGTCAAAATGGTAGAAATTGATTTGCATTTTAATGACGGAAATAAGTATTTGACCCCCTCTCAATCAGATAGATTTCTGGCTCCCAGGTGTCTTTTATACAGGTAACGAACGGAGATTAGGAGCACACTCTTAAAGGGAGTGCTCCTAATCTCAGCTTGTTACCTGTATAAAAGACAACTGTCCACAGAAGCAATCAATCAACCAGATTCCAAACTCTCCACCATGGCCAAGACCAAAGAGCTCTCCAAGGATGTCAGGGACAAGATTGTAGACCTACACATGGCTAGAATGGGCTACAAGACCATTGCCAAGCAGCTTGGTGAGAAGGTGACAACAGTTTGGTGCGATTATTCGCAAATGGAAGAAACACAAAATAACTGTCAATCTCCCTCGGCCTGGGGCTCCATGCAAGATCTCACCTCGTAGAGTTGCAATGATCATGAGAACGGTGAGGAATCAGCCCAGAACTACACGGGAGGATCTTGTCAATGATCTCAAGGCAGCTGGGACCATAGTCACCAAGAAAACAATTGGTAACACACTACGCCATGAAGGACTTAAATCCTGCAGCGCCTGCAAGGTCCCCCTGCTCAAGAAAGCACGTATACATGCCCGTCTGAAGTTTGCCAATGAACATCTGAATGATTCAGAGGACAACTGGGTGAAAGTGTTGTGGTCAGATGACACCAAAATGGAGCTCTTTGGCATCAACTCAACTCACCATGTTTGGAGGAGGAATGCTGCCTATGACCCCAAGAACGCCATCCCCACCGTCAAATATGGAGGTGGAAACATTATGCTTTGGGGATGTTTTTCTGCTAAGGGGACAGGACAACTTCACCGCATCAAAGGGATGATGGACGGAGCCATGTACCGTCAAATCTTGGGTGAGAACCTCCTTCCCTCAGCCAAGGCATTGAAAATGGGTCGTGGATGGGTATTCCAGCATGACAATGACTCAAAACATACGGCCAAGGCAACAAAGGAGTGGCTCAAGAAGAAGCACATTAAGGTCCTGGAGTGGCCTAGCCAGTCTCCAGACCTTAATCCCATAGAAAATTTGTGGAGGGAACTGAAGGTTCGAGTTGCCAAACATCAGCCTCGAAGCCTTAATGACTTGGAGAAGATCTGCAAAGAGGAGTGGGACAAAATCCCTCCTGAGATGTGTGCAAACCTGGTGCCCAACTACAAGAAACGTCTGACCTCTGTGATTGCCAACAAGGGTTTTGCCACCAAGTACTAAGTCATGTTTTGCAGAGGGGTCAAATACTTATTTCCCTCATTAAAATGCAAATCAATTCCTAACATTTTTGACATGCGTTTTTTCTGGATTTTTTGTTGTTATTCTGTCTCTCACTGTTCAAATAAACCTACCATTAAAATTATAGACTGATCATTTCTTTGTCAGTGGGCAAACGTACAAAATCAGCAGGGGATCAAATACTTTTTTACCTCACTGTAGGGATTCCAGTACTGGATTGTACGAGGTACTGAGATAGTTTTGACTATGGATTTATTTTTTGTAGCGCTTTAATTCCGGGAAGAGAGATGGAGAGAGAGATTGTGAGCGTAGCTATCGTGTGTGTGGGCGGTACAAGTGCACAGGGGCCAATGGACCGGAGGGGCCCAGGCACCGGACTAAAAAAGTGGAGGGAAATTATAAAGGGGGGAGCATTTCATTCCATGCACCAGGACCCATGCCAACGGCGCTAGGCCACTGAGTGTAATGTCTGCAATGCACCACGTACAGCTTAATTAGGGTTTCACCCCTGAAGGGAAGGCAATGAACATGAATTGGAACAAAGTGCAGCAACACGCAGGTAGTAAGAAAAGCTCGCTTGTGCATCATCGCTTACCAGTCATTCGCCTTACCGCTACCGATAAAGCACATTGCCCCTTCTGCCACAGCAAAGGTGCACTGACGCCGAATTGTGCTCGTTATTCTGCGTCGCCTCGACTATTTTCATTATTATTTTCAAACAAAACCTAGGCAGTGAGTCTCGCATAGCATAGCAACACGGCAAATTTCACACGTCGGTGAGCTTTGGTGGCAGCCTCGCACCCACACGCATCACACACACACGCGAGTTAGAGCTACCACATTTCTGGGAAGCTCATCCAGGACACTTGGTAAGCTCCTAGCTCCTACCGCTGTCAGCCCTGGCCACTCTTAACATTGCCACGTCCACTCAGTTACTAGCCCTGCTCTCACATGGTGAGTGGCTTGCTTCTTTCTGACGTTGGTCCTGCCTACAGTTCATACCTACCTCTCTGCCAATGCCCGTCAACTACTCGGGTAGCCCCATCCTTTGACCACAACTCGAGTTGAACACGCGGCCAGAAAATGTTAAACTGGAATTAAATCCTGATTTTTTTGACCAATGCTTCGGGACACCGGTACAGCTTTTCTAAAAACCTGGACTAACAGCCAAAGCAGGTTGTTTGCTAGCTTTACAGGTGAAAAGCCATCACTGGTCACAGAGGAACGTGTCCCAGGGCCTCTTCCCTTACGTCCAATGGCAAGTGTTCTCTCTTCAGCAGAGGACGCTGTCGGTCAGAGCCGAGACTAGAGGGTGATGTCGCGGTGGCCCGGACGTGGAGGTTTCACACGGACTCGTACTCGCGCTGCCACTCAGTGTAGCGTGCGCAGAGGGTCCGAGCGGATGGCTTGGTGTGCGCCAGCACGTCCAGCAGGTCGCCCGTGTGCAGCGTGTCCAGGCACAGCGCCGGCAGGGCTTCCTCTGGTAACGCCACCATCATCCCGACACAGACAAAGTGCACAAGATGGAAGGCAAGTGCATCCGATCATCTTTTTTTCCTGGCCTATGACCACATCACCTGGAATGCGCCTGACTTCCATCAGATCTCAGGAACTAAGCATAGGATGGAGCCTGAATATTGGTAGGATGGGTGACCTCCATGCACAGATTGTTATAGGCTTGGGGCTATATGAAGGGCAGCAGAGTGCAGTGCTGCGAAATCCACTAGATAATATGTATATGTTGCAACGAATATGGGACTGCCAACAACCAGTACAAATGAATAACACACCCGTCATTCTTACTCCCCACATCAATTAATTCATAGCTGCAACAACGGTGGCTTACGCAAAACGAGACTTTGACAACAGCGCTCCTCCCCCGGTAACTTTAAGAGTTGGGCTCTGCTGTCTGCCTCACCTGGCCGGTGGCTTTCCAGCGCGTCGAAGATCTTGCGAACGGGCCGCATTGCCGCCTCCTTGCACACGAGCAGGATGTCCGACCCCGAGTAACCCTCTGTCGCCTGCTCGTCCATCACAGACTTCTTTCATTAACAAGAGCTTTATAGCTCATCGGATTCCTCAAGTATAAACACATATTCTGATTAGGAAGCCACTGGAGCTACACACTTTAAAATCTAGATTGAAAACAAACTCTTTTAGAACTGCTTTTTTTGTTTAGTTGTCCTTCCCGCGCACCTCGGATTATCACGATTGGCTATGTACGGTGCGAAAGAAGTTCAACATGCATACATCCACGTCCTCGCCGTCCGCGGCGACACCTGATACATTCCTCACTAGGTCACCGACCCAGACAGACCCGGCCGGCGACTGTCGACCGCCGCAGCCGGCCGGTTGCGGTGCGTCCTTGCCTGAGCCAGCTGCTCATAGTCCAGCTCCGTGCGGATCTCCAGCCCCGTGCCGGAGTTGACGGGTGGAAGGTGGTGCAAGATCATGGCACGCCGGGCCGCCGCGCTGGGCAGGTCCACGAGGATTCGCTTCTCCAGCCGCCGCAGCATGGCGTGGTCCAGCTCCCTATGGACACAAAGGCGACGATTCTCCTGGGTAGTCTGTTACAGGCTGCTGAGGCAAGTGCTGTTAGTTAAAGCCCTATTGAGGCCGGAGCGGCAAACAAGGGCAGGGATGGTGTGGATAACGCCATGCCTGGATGCCTCCGTCTTTCCAGTGCTGAATTAAGGCTGAATCAATCAAGAGGAGGCCTCGGACTGGTTTAGATATCGATCTCCAGCGATGTTAACCATGGCTGAAAATCGAACTCAGGTGGCCGAATGCGTAACACAGTGTGCTAAGCACTGCACCACTAATCCCCACAACACCCAATCGGCCCACACCGAGACACAATACTAACCTTCACTGCCTTGTGCACAAGCTTTGAATCTACAAAATTAGTATTCCCGAAAATGTATTCCACGGTGCTATCGGTATCATGACAGAAACAAAGAAGTGCCCATTCAAGAGTCTTGCCGTGCGGTGCATTACCCTGTGATAGAGAATGGCCCGTGGGATGTGATGTCACGGAACCATTTGTGAGATCCCTATCCACGCGAGAGGCACACTTCTCAACACGCCTTGCTATACAGAGATCAGCCGTGCCCGCCGCAGGCTTACCAGGGCAGGTTTGATGCCGCCAACACAAACACAAGGTCGTCGGAGCGTGCCAGGCCGTCCATCTGAACGAGCAGCTCTGTTTTCATGCGACGGCTGCCCTCGTGTTCGCCACTGTGCGCTCACAAAACACGTGGCCGTACCGTGGTCTCGCTGCCTTTTGGGGCCCCTGCGGTAAATGTGACTGTTGAACCTTTACAACTTTTTTTTTAAATTAATGTTTACACCCTTTAACATTAAACTTTTGGTTGAACGCCTTCCCACACCTTTCGGTCATGCGGGCTGTTGACCAGTACGGGCTGGTGACAGGCAGGTGCTCATGACCAGTTCAGCTACCACTCGTAATTAATGTTAGCCGTCGGCCGGAATCGAACTCTCGTCGCCCTTACGTAGCGCATTGCGTTCACTGCTGTGGTCCCGCTGCACTCCATTCACTTTATAGGTTATATTTGACTCACTGTAAAACCTGATTATGTTCGACGGACATTAGGTCAGACAGATGAATATAGTCACCACCGGGCATGGCTTTAACTGTGCTGTTGCATAATTAGTGGTTGTACTGCACGCCCGAAGCGTAACTTGGGTGTGGTGGAATTCTGCACAGATGTCGCCATCGCATGTTCCAAACATCCACGTGCATGTCAATGAGGTGCCTGTAGAGGGCAGTGTGGCAAGGTTTTCGACAGCAGAAACGACAGTTTTCCTCCCCGTACAAAAATGCTCAAGTAAATGGCCAAATATCCGGAACACTTGTGAAAATAGTTCTTAAGACTCGGGCGTAATTTTAGAAATAAATATATCCTCATGCCATGAGGTCAGATTGGGGAGGTGTTCATCCAGCAGTGGATATATAGTGATTAGTGACGATCATATATATTTGGTTAATTTATAATTAATTGCTGAACTATGAAAGTAATATCTCAATTGGCAGACGTGGTGGCATATGCCTGTAATCCAAGCCAGGGTTATTGGATCACGTATATACATAATCGTGTAAGACACAGTTTACCAGGGTTATGATGTGGCCTGTACATTGCAGTAAAGGTAGTATGGTTGTTGGACGTTTTGGATTTACTTCAGGCAATCATGTTTCCTCCTGCATACTAAAATACTCAAAGAGAAAATGACAAAATATCATAAGCCAATCCCTTGCAAAAAATGTATTTTCTTTATATAAATAACTAAACGACTTTGTTTAAAGAGGCAATGCCCCATTGAGCTACACCATCTTATCAGCAGAAATGCTTTCTGCCTATCGCTGAATTTATTTACAGAGCACTTTGTAACTCGCATTCCAATAGCTACCAGAGACGTACTGTTTAGTGGATGCAAATGGAACACAGAGTGCAGCCTTAAACCTATCACGTGGTCAGGGTCGCTTCAGGGATTTTTAAAGGCCTGTGGGAAAAAAATCACATTGAGGCCCCCTTGGCGTTTTCTACGGCCCACTCAGATCTGAGGCCTGGGGAAAACTTCCACCTGTCCCCTCCCCCACCACGATCCCCTCTGCGTCCGCGAGAGTGGCGTTGGCAAGGGCAATTATCTCACCCAGCACCGCCAGCACCACGTTGCCCCATGACCGACTCCAGCTCGTCCAGGAAAATCGTAGATGGCGCATGGTACCGAGCCAGCTCGAATAGCACCTGCGGCACAGGGAGAGAGAATCCAAGCTGATCAAACTATTAGCATGTTTGGCTACGTACGGTGGGAAAGAAGTTCAAGTTCAATGTGCTCGCCGTGGCCCCAGGGACTTAGAAGTGATGGTCACTGACGGCAATGGCACCTTGACAAGTTTCTCCGAGTCTCCCCGCCACTTGCTGACTATGCTGGAGGCGGAGATGTTGAAGAAGGTCGTCTTGCACTCAGTGGCCACTGCTTTAGCCAGCATTGTCTTGCCGGTGCCTGTTGGAAAAAGGAAGGCAAACACTGGGACACTCGGACAAAGCTAAAGATGTAGGAGCAATGGTTGTGTAATCGCCTGGTCTGTAACATGGCTATTGAGATTAATGTTATTGCGAGTCAATTAAATGCAAGTGGCTGCCAGCCCACTTACTTGTGTCACCTGCTATGACATGGAACAGGAGCATAGACATTGACAAATACAATTGAACAAAAGCTGAAAAATGTGCAAAGTAGCACGAAAAGGATGCATGCTTCAAAATACAGGAAGAGGAACACATGGATGAGTGAACGTATGGACTAGGGCCTACAAAAACTAAACGGCCTACGAAAATAAATGTACCATGTTTTTTGTATGAAAAAAAATGTAACCAAGATATCTTCTTGAATAAATATATTTATATAGCAAGAATAGGCACAGTGTATGTAAAAAGAGGCAGAGTCATGTAATGTTTATATATATACAGTGAGGGAAAAAAAGTATTTGATCCCCTGCTGATTTTGTATGTTTGCCCACTGGCAAAGAAATTATCAATCTCTAATTTTAATGGTAGGTTTATTTGAACAGTGAGAGACAGAATAACAACAACAAAATCCAGAAAAACGCATGTCAAAAATGTTCTAAATTGATTTGCATTTTAATGAGGGAAATAAGTATTTGACCCCCTCTCAATCAGAAAGATTTCTGGCTCCCAGGTGTCTTTTATACAGATAACGAGCTGAGATTAGGAGCACACTCTTAAAGGGAGTGCTCCTAATCTCAGCTTGTTACCTGTATAAAAGACACCTGTCCACAGAAGCAATCAATCAATCGGATTCCAAACTCTCCACCATGGCCAAGACCAAAGAGCTCTCCAAGGATGTCAGGGACAAGATTGTAGACCTACACAAGGCTGGAATGGGCTACAAGACCATTGCCAAGCAGCTTGGTGAGGTGACATTTGGTGTGATTATTCGCAAATGAAAGAAACACAAAAGAACTGTCAATCTCCCTCGGCCTGGGGCTCCATGCAAGATCTCACCTCGTGGAGTTGCAATGATCATGAGAACGGTGAGGAATCAGCCCAGAACTACACGGGAGGATCTTGTCAATAATCTCAAGGCAGCTGGGACCATAGTCACCAAGAAAACAATCGGTAACACACTATGCCGTGATGGACTGAAATCCTGCAGCGCCCGCAAGGTCCCCCTGCTCAAGAAAGCACATATACATGCCCGTCTGAAGTTTGCCAATGAACATCTGACTGATTCAGAGGACAACTGGGTGAAAGTGTTGTGGTCAGATGAGACCAAAATGGAGCTCTTTGGCATAAACTCGACTCGCCGTGTTTGGAGAAGGAGGAATGCTGCCTATGACCCCAAGAACACCATCCCCACCGTCAAACATGGAGGTGGAAACATTATGCTTTGGCGGTGTTTTTCTGCTAAGGGGACAGGACAACTTCACCGCATCAAAGGGATGATGGACGGGGCCATGTACCGTCAAATCTTGGGTGAGAACCTCCTTCCCTCAGCCAGGGCATTGAAAATTGGTCGTGGATGGGTATTCCAGCATGACAATGACCCAAAACACACGGCAAAGGCAACAAAGGAGTGGCTCAAGAAGAAGCACATTAAGGTCCTGGAGTGGCCTAGCCAGTCTCCAGACCTTAATCCCATAGAAAATCTGTGGAGGGAGCTGAAGGTTTGAGTTGCCAAACGTCAGCCTCGAAACCTTAATGACTTGGAGAAGATCTGCAAAGAGGAGTGGGACAAAATCCCTCCTGAGATGTGTGCAAACCTGGTGGCCAACTACAAGAAACGTCTGACCTCTGTGATTGCCAACAAGGGTTTTGCCACCAAGTACTAAGTCATGTTTTGCAGAGGGGTCAAATACTTATTTCCCTCATTAAAATGCAAATCAATTTATAACATTTTTGACATGCTTTTTCTGGATTGTGTTGTTGTTATTCTGCCTCTCACTGTTCAAATAAACCTACCATTAAAATTATAGACTGATTATTTCTTTGTCAGTGAGCAAACGTACAAAATCAGCAGGGGATCAAATAATTTTTCCCTCACTGTATAAGGTGAGAGGAATTAACACCGGAGATTACCTTTTCGAGAATTTTTCGTTATAAAATTAGCAGTAACATCTTCAAATGGTGTTTATCGCACAATGTCATTCTCAACAGAGAGTAGAGCAAGGGGGAAACAAGCATTGCTATCCTACACGTGAAACAAGCGAGTGCCAGCGGCGGTAATTACATGGGCAGTACCCACTGTAGAAAGTTATCACTTAGGGCCTACAAGAACCTTAATCCGGCCCTGATAGTGGGAAATATCAAGTGTGTAGCATGATATGTCTTCTGCGAAGGTTTCTGTGCGATGCGGTGAGGATCTACCTGGTGGCCCATATAGCAGGAGGCCTTTCCATGGTGAGAGAATGCCGGTGAAAAGCTGCGGATACTAAAAATGCAATGCGATAAAGGCAAAGGGCACAGTGGTTAGCGCACTGTGCTATAAACCCAGATACCTAAGCTCGATACCTGGCCATGGTTAATGTCAGTGGGGAGTGATATCTGAATAGGTCCTGCTTAACCATGACTGACACAATGGGGAGGTCTTCACCTAGAAAAACAATATTTACCAGGTAAGACCCACTGAGATATATAGCTCTTTTTCAGAAGCGACCTGGCCACAAGTGATAGCTGAACGAAGTGGCTTATCACGTGGAAATTATCGCAGCCAAATGCTCTAAATGCATGTTGATTCTAAATGTGGATGGGAAAACCGGAGGACCTGGAGAAAAATCCATGCGACCACGAGGAGAACATACAAACTCTAAATGTACAGCAGGCGTCAGGTTTGGGAACGAACCCACGACCTCCTGTATACCAGGCGAGGTAGTTAACATCTCGCCACCCAGCAGGGGAATGACAAAGGGATGAGAATTATTATTGTGAATTTTTTATTGCAGAATAACAAAACTCACTGTGGCAGGAACTTCAGAATGATATTTGCTTGATGGCAAAGGTGGGCATATAACTAAACACAGTCTGTTCTTCCCTCTGTGACTTCTAATTCCAAAGCTGATAAGTTACAAAATCTCCATTGCTGCTTTTAAGACCTTCAAGGTCTTGCCACGCATTTTTTTCCCTGACGTCATCTCTCCTTACTGGTCTTCATGCGCGGTCTATTCCAGCAACTGCGATCATGCCCACTCTTAATACCAAATTTCTATTCTAAGGGGAGTCACTCCTTCTTTTCTGCTTTTCCGCCTGTGTGTCCACATCACTAAATCCCACCTCAGGTTCAAGTCCACAACATGTAGGGTTAATCATTCACCACTCCCTTTATACGGCATGTACGAATGCCTCTTGTCTATAGCAACTGTATCATAATGCTAGTTAACATTACATTGAATACTTTATTAGATTAATGTAATGGTATTGTTTTAATGTTTACTCGATGTCTTTTTCCTTGACTCGAATTGCCCATGATTGGCCCTTATCATGCACCAACGTGCGATAGTCATCCAGATAGTCATAAACCAACTTCAGATGGTCATGTGTACAGGGTATTTACTTTAAAACTGAAAATGGTATGCTATCATCACACTTTCCACTGCTGAAGGCCTAACAAAAATAATGTTGGTGTTCATATATAGCTTCATTTGTGCCACTGCATCACGCAAGGATCCGCAATCTGAAAATACTGTACGCAGCGCATATATTGCGATGTTTTCAGCCAATTAATGAGTGTTTATCCTGCCACATTCTCCATCCTTAAAACAAGTAGGCTTTACATGAATAGCGTTACCTTAATTGGATAGACAACAGCTTCTTTTACCAGACGCTTGGCTGCATCAAGGCCGATGATGTCATCCCACCTAACGTTGGGATTTTGCAGATAAATATCCTGGAAAATTGACGAAGAAAAAAAGTTAAACCCACAATCATTATCTGCCAGCCTTATTGGTTTAAGTGATTACGGGTTGGTGGCACACAACATCTTGCGGTGATTTATATGTTCTGGCAGTAAAAGTGACACTTGCAACTTTACTGTTTGTTGGTACAACACATTCAACATAAGTGGTAGACAGTGTTCCGAAGGGGGTCACTAATGCTCAACTGGATTAATAGCTCGGATAAGGCCCCTCGGAATGCCCACGCAGGCAGCTGTTCACGTGTCCCCACACGCAAGCAGGCATTCCGGTGCACAACGTGCAGTGTGACACGTCTATGCATGTCACACTGCAGCGCATATTTATTGTGCCCTTATCCGATTCTAGTACATAACTTGGAAGAAAAAGCATTTGATTCTAAAACATGAATTGTGTGGTTGGAACGATTATCACTGCACCACTTTTTTAGTCGGGGGCTCAAAGCCACTTTTTACACAATCCCCCTCTCCAAAGACAAAGATCCCCCGTATAGCCTCTATCAGATTGTTGGGGCAAGTGCTGTTAGCGAGCACCTGTGAAGGCTGGCACGGCACACAAGGGGTTGAGTGGCCAGCACCACGCCCGGCCGCCTTTGTATCCCTAGTGCCGATGTTTACACACAGCACCAGATATTCGATTAGCACGGTTGGCTACGTACGGCGCGAAAGAAGTCCAACATACCATACATACTTATACCAGCGACCCACACTTCTCCCACAGGCGCAAAGGCAGTCCATAGTCTCGACAAAAGCCTGCTTACTGGCATAAACGAGTAAACAAATCGGTGAGCAAACAGACGAGTGGCGACACTGTGTGTGCTGGGTATTTACGTACTCTGCTGATAATGGAAGCCAGCTCCCTCATTTCTCCTGTCATCCCCGCAAACGCACCGAGCGGCTTCAGCAGACGATCCTGCGACGACGACAACAGCAGTGGCGACGTCTGTCATGGACTTGCTGTAGTGTGTCTGTCGCACGAGCGTGAGTGTATGTGATAACATCTGTTTTGTATGGCTATCTCAACCAGTTCTGGGCTTTTTTTTAGGTCCACTAAGCATGAAACGAGTACCTCGTGCAGTGTATAAACATGAGCACTGACGAGACAAAGGCTGCTGAGCATAGTGCAGCGTGTGCGGTCCAGTCTTAATAAGTGCTCGCTAACAGCACTTGCCCCAACAGTCTGTTAAAGGCTATATATACGATGTCCCTGTCTTTGTATGTGTGTGTGTGCCGGTGTAAATGCTTCGCTCGTACATGCACACACCGGAGGGTCGGGAGACAATCCAGTGGAGCTGGTGGTGATATCTCCCGAGGCTGCACGGATGGCATCTCCGATCATGCTTCGAAAGTCGATGATTTGACCCTAAAGTACAAAGCTCATGATTAAAGGCGCTGTAGCATTTTTTATTTCAGGTGCCTTGCAGTTGTTTCTGTTTATTTACCGTTTTGTTTCGGTGATGCAAGTCCCAGTGTTAACTTACTCACAAGTGGAGGAATGTGCTGAATATAAACATCATCAGTCGTTTATCCACTGCTAGATGAAGGACATCCCATGCCATTTCCATTACTCATGGTCCTATAATTTACGGCTTTAGGTGTTTGATAGGGAAACATTTGCTATGCAATCCTGAAATAATCATGTTATTTACACAGGAAAGTCTCAAGGGGTTCCAAGACTTTTCCGGACTCTCCTGCATTGGAATTGTTGGCCAATTCCAAGCCTGAGCATTTGGTTTGTGGGAGGAAACTGGTGTAACCAAACTCGTCACGATACAAGTGGACAACATTCAAAGGCTTACACTCAGAGATAAAAAAAAAACAATTGCTGAATTGCCATCTCCTGACAACCTCACAGCCACTTTTAAAATGTGTTAAGAATGCTGTGTACTACACCGTGCACAAAATAAACCATCACATTCCATTTGATTCTGCACATAATTTGGCAAAACCCCAGCTCTGAAAATCAGAAATATGGACTTGACTATATTCATATTATTGGCTCTTTCCGTAAAGTCACGTAGATATAAATACATAAATAAATAAACCATTAAATAAAAATCAAAGCAAAAAACCCACGACGTTTCGTTCGCGACACAAGCGGTCTTCATCAGGCGGAGAGAAAAAAATGGATTTGACTGTCATGAGAAAAACATTACTCTCCGTGGCAGGGTGAGTGGAAAAGTGCTGCCTCCTGAGTGTGTGAGCCAGAGGTCACTTGAAGAGATCTCAAAGGGAGCCACAGTGGCGATGTTAACTACCTCGCTAGGTATGCAGGTCATGGGTTCGACCCCGACCCTGATGCCTGTATATTTTGAGTTTGCATGTTCTCCCCATGGCCGCGTGGATTTTTCTCCGGGTCCTCCGTTTTTTCCCTCCACATTTAGAAACATGCATTTAGAGTATTTGGCTCCTAGAAATTTCCACGTGATAAATCACTTCGTTGGCCTGTCATTTGTGGCCAGGTCGCTTCTGAAAAAGAGTGATATAGCTCAGTGTCCTTGGCTAGAAAAATAAAAAAAATAGTTTAGTTTAATTTAGCTCTCTAATAACCTTTTTTTTACATGAGCCATTCTCTAACACAAATGATTGCACTGCTCTGCAAGACATGTGGATGGACACTCCGTCTCATGACATGACGCCAATAGCATAGTCGGTATAAATTTTGGAGAAAATTAAAACATAGGGAAAAGAGCGCGTTGGTTCCTTACACGCCTGTGAGGAGGGGCGCTTCCTCCCATCGTCCTGCCGATCGGCGCTACATTCAACCCGAAATCCGCTTCGGCAGGAGTAGGCTGTTCAGTGGCCTCCTGCAGGAATCAAACATAAGCAAGGACAACATAAATGACCACAACGGCACCGGCAAAGGTTACCAAAGGTGCGCACAAAGAATTGCAGGACAGATAAAGAAAAAGGTAGACATATAACACGAAAAATCAAACGGAAAAATCACAAACGCGCGTGGATTATCTCGTGCTTTCCAACATGAGTTTGTGTTGGAGGGATTTAATTGGCGATCAAAACAGCAGAGCTCATGCCAAGCACGCAAGGAAGCAGTTAATTAGTAGCTGGCACTGAGACGATAAAGCTTTGATATCGGCTCTAGCCCCCGGGGGCGGGGAGGGCACATGCAACCGTTTCATCAATTTGGATCATTTTCTGTCGGGCAAGTTCCTGATATTAATACAATGTCACACTCAAGTTTCATTCAAATTGGATCATCCTTGAAAGGGTTATCGCGTCTCCCCCCCCCCCCCCATTACAGACAGATGGACTAACCGACGGAGCCGATGCACAAACAATTTAACGCTACATTTAGCTAAAAGGACCTGTCACATAATAATGTGAAGTACTTAGAATGTGATGTACCAGTTATGAAGAACATTTGAGGCATTTATACAAACATCTAAAAGAATAGTTTGATTCAGAGATAGCCTCTATTTAAAATAGAACACCCATTGAGATAATGGGTCTATTTATAAGTGACTTATTAACATAGGTTCGGGCAGCTCAAGAGGAAAAACTGTGAAATGTAAGTTGAGGATTTAATCGATTACATCCACATAATTAGCCTTGAGGATCGAGTGTGATCTGACGGTTTGCAGTCCGAATGTAAACATCTGATAACAGAAGCACAAGGCTGAGAAACACAAATGCATTTTTTCGTGTCCCTTCCATTTAACACTTTAAAAAACACATGGTTACCAGTGTGCATCAATATTTACAACGTTAGGCGTTTTGATAAGGAGACATTTGTTAAACAATCCTGCGTGCCGCTTTTTCAAACTAAAAAGGCTTGGCTGCCTGCCCAAGGACATACGATGTCGTAATTAAATATTTGTTGGTCATGTCTCGCCAATAATAGAGAGTGCGTGGAAAGCCCTTTATTTTCATTGAATTAAATGTCATGAATTCTGGAGGTATTCCCATCTCTTATTACGGTTACTGTTATTAATCATCACCGTTAAAACCACCGCAGGAACCTGACACTTCGAGCACAGAGCACACATTCATGAACACCGTTACATTTAGTCGATTCCCCAGAAGAAGAAATATAAACACAAATATCCAGCGTCCCTAGCTCTGTAAGCAGCTGGCTTGTCTTGCGGTGAGCCTTGTGGTCATTGCTCACCACTAAGCCAGTTTGCAAAGCAGTACTTACGGTTTCATTTCCTCATCTGCTCAGTCATTTTTTTTTAGCGCTCCAACGTAAAGCATTGCGTTTATGTGGATGTGGAAGAGCTTGCGACATCACTTGCAAGATTAAGCGACTCTGTCATATGCGTAAATGAACATCTGGTGGCTCACCTGAGCTCTCAGTCGTGGACATTACACATCACTATGGCAGAGATCTATTTTTTTAACCAAAGGACAACGAATAAGTGATCTAGCTAAAAACATTTATGGCAGGCACCTGGCGCTGACCGTTTTTAGCGCATGCACAGCCTACACTCTGCCGCCGCTGACCGTGTGCTAATACTATTAAACCTCAATGGGCTCTCACCTAATGAAATCAGGGGCCTCCCAGTACGCTTAATGGGTGGGTGAGCCGCATCCAGGTGGCAAATGCTCTCAGGATCAAACCACCTCTACGACCAAGTTGTCCACTGTACGCCCGAACAAACTCCATTACAATGAAGCCTTTCCCGATCCGAGACGACTGAAAGTTGCAGGGTGGGGATCCTGTTCACCTCCTGCATGGCCTTGTGGGAGCCTAAAGCTCGCTGCCTTCATGTACGTCATCGGAACAGGATAGGGTTAAGTCCTGTGCAAAATGCAGCATCATGTTGCTCGGCGTCGTGGAGAGGGTGGCCACACCTGCCGAGCACCATCCTTTACTTGCGCTGCCTTCTTGGCTCCATACTGGGATGGCGGGCGTTGGCTCATGCCGATCCGCGGCAGGGGCTGCGACGCATTGCTCACTGTTCTGTGTGGCGCGATCGACGAGGGAGGAGGAAAATAACCGTTATATCGCAACATTTTTTTTTACTATTTTTATTTTACCAGGTAAGGTCCGAGCAAAATAGCTCTTTTTCAGAAGCGACCTGACCACAAAAGATAGCTCAACAAAGTGGCTTACCACGTGGACATTTCTAGGAGCCAAATACTCTAAACGCATGTTTCTAAATATGGAGGAAAAAACCGGGGGACCCGGAGAAAAATCCAAGCGACCACGGGGAGAACATGCAAACTTCAAATATACAGGTGCCAGGGTCGGGATCAAATCCACAACCCGCCGTATACGAGGAGAGGTAGTTAACATCTCGCCACCGTGGCGAGCCCACATTATGTGCATAGCACTTTTGTCAATCCACTGCAGGATGAGGACCTTCCCATGCCTTGTAGATTGTTGGAGGTTATTTGACTGTACTGTACTTCATTTATTTAAACAAAATTAATTAATTAATTCACATCCTTGCTTACCTTTTCTATAGTTTACACTCCTATACATAATAAACGTTTTTTGGGTTAGATCGCGTTATTTATAAATGTGTCGCAACCCTCCACCATCCAATGATGCTGGATGTAATTACCAGCGAAACGTCGTACTCAAAAATTGTAAATGTTGTGGATTCACTCTTCAACACACCGGTGGGCTAAAGTAATGAACTATTTGTCTTTTGTCAACGTGACACAATTTTTACTGATTGGCCGTTTCAGGTGGTGGAGGGTTGCGACCAATTTATAAATAACGCGATCTAACCCAAAAACCGTTATTATGAATAATATTGGTCGCGGAAGCCTACGTGTTAAATTACACTCCTATAGTGTTTTTATTGTTGTTGTTGTAACTTGCTGACCCGCCCCTACTGGACATCTGTGAAAAAGAGCTTCATAGCTCATCGGATTCCTTCAGGTTAAATAAAGATTTAGATTCTGTACTTCAGCACGTAGGTCAGCGTGGGATGGTGAAGGCAGCGAACATAAAAATAGGAACACAGAAGTACAGTCGAGCAATAGATGGTGCTGCCCACAACATGGCCCCCGCAGCCTTTGACACATGTTTGTGCATGGTGGTTACCTATTCAAATCTGATTAGTTTCAGACATCTTATGAGAATAGGTACATTCCAAGTGATGTTGTCATATCAAGGGAAAACATTCTAACAAATGTAAGGAAGTATAAATGATAACGCAAGCGAAACATCATAACTGGAGCACGAGAAGTCATATAGACACGAAGCACAATTTTAAAATATATATGTATGTGCAAATAACATAGTTTAAAAGAGATCTGACGACGTAGGCAAGTAATTCCAGTAAAAAGATACTTTTAAATTTTACATAGCTAATTTTTATACGCAACTATATATTTTTTTAATTACAATACTCTTTCTTAGCAACATCGCATTACCAATTACAGTCGTGAATATGATACAATCAAAAGACCTTCATAAGAATTGAGATACAATAGGGCAATTAAGCAAACAAATATACTCAACCCCATTATGATTATAACCTACATATTTCTGTTTTTAGTTTTCAATGTTTCTCGAGAATGTGTAATATTTTTACGACTCATCCTTTGTGAACCACTATTGTGCTCGCAGACTCACAAACGTGCACAGCCTCCCGTTGGGTTGCGTTAAATGCAATAATTGGCGCGCTCGCGAGCAACCGTGGCCTCGATACCGCCGTCAATTAATGGACGGCGTAGGCACACCGTGCTCTGAGTGCCACGGAAGATGAATTTTCCTAGCGGTCGCGTGGCCTCGGAAAATAAATCAACCGAGTGCTAACCACGCATGGTGCAGGTTGCCGCCATTGCGTAGCCTCTGCCGACCTCGTGTGAATAGCGGCGGAAATTACCTTCTCAGCTTTCCTCCGGATTTCAAAGGAAATCTGCAGTTTTCCGCTGTGATCAAAAAATGAAATGCATAGAAGATGTAAAAAAAATGTAAGGCGCTACATTGATGGTCATTAACACCGCCGTGCATAAGAAAAGTATATAATTGGCTGAATATTTGGGCAATGGCCCTTTTTTAAAGCAATGTTAATGAGTGTGATAATTTTTTATTACGTCAATGTATTAATTAGCTCATTTTAAAAACGTGCAACTTATTACCCGTGGCATACCACAGCAAGGGGAGCAGAGGCAAGGATGCAATTTGAAACATAAAAAGAATGGGAAAGAGAAGAGAGAAGAGAAAGAATGGAAAATAAGAGGAAACGGATGGAAAGGAGTGGAAAAACTGGAAGAAGGGTCATGAGAGATGAAGATCGGGAGGAAGAAGCTATATAAGGGCCTCGACATTGCAGGGAGCAGCATGTGTTTTACAGGAGGCGGGGAGAAGGGAGGCATTTGGAGTGGGGGTTGCCACACACAAGCAATTTTATTCATTGGAGGCTTAAACTGATTTAGCTATATACATAGATGTATAAAAGACAGCTGTGAATGAGCACAGCAGAGTCTGTATTTTACGACTTACTGTTCTCTCCCAGCTTCTTGGTTATTTTGGGATACTTTTGGAACTTCACGTAGTAGTATGACTCGTACTCCATCATGATGGTCTCCAGGTCCACGTTGTCGCACACTTCGTAGCGCCGCAAGCTTGCGTTCGTTTCTTGTTCCAAGGCGCCAGCGGTGCTCATGTATCTAGGAGACAAAGCTTCGTGTTGGCCTAAGTGTGAAATATCCTGCGGAGTGATTCATTCGTTTCCATAATGTGCCATTCGTAAATCTTTCAATTCGCGCATCCGATGAACGGCAATGTAAATTAGATGGGATGTCCCAAAGTAGCGGAAAATTTCAAAATAACAGCAGAGTACAATTTTAACACAAAATACCTCCGGTAACCGCAGTATTGCTTCAATTTATTCAGACATTTTACTTTCAAAGAGTACTATTGTATATTGCAGAACATGCAGATGAACACCATAACAAAAGGTGATGTGTTCATAAAGTGGATACACAATACACACTTGGTTAAGGGCATTGCTTCAGGTGCGGGCATTTCAGAAACACTTTTTAAAGGTGTATTGATTAATGGTTGACATTGATTCAGTTCACTTAGAGACATGCACAGACTTGCTGCGGTTCGCTGGTGAGGTTAAGCGAACGGCAAACGCCAAACACAAGACACAATTTAATATCACAAGTCGAACCGTTTTGGTAGCATAACGCCATTCGTTTATTGACAGTGACTCTATGCTTCAATCGTAGTCAAACTTGTGAAAGCTATATCGCGTAACACAATATAGCTTTTGACGGTACGGCATTGCAATTTCTAAGATATATATTTATTTCACAATCTCACTGACACACTACAGTACAGTTGCACTGTACGAGTCACTGATCTTAATTCCAGATAGCCGTGCAACCACTTCACAATGACAAGCCTGGACATGGGCAGTCACTTTTCAGATGAATCTGGCTTTTGTAAATGTCTCCACTTCGGGGCCGATTCAATTACTGGTCAACAATTGTTTTCCTGACAACATGCGTGCCTCTCGAAATGGCGTTTGCTCACCCGCTGTCCGTCAAGTAATGCAAAATGAGGACCAGCAGATTTTTTCGGCGAGCTTCTGTCCTGAGCTCATCCTGTGGAAAAAATATAGAAGGCCCCATTGCATTAAAATAACAGTAACGTCGTTTATATTACCCAAGAAATTCTCACCGTATCAACACTCTTTTTGAGGAGCGTTTGCGATGTTTGATCAATTTCGTGAGCATTTCAGAATCAGAATATTTTTGTTATACCGGAGGAATCCGATGAGCCATAAAGCTCTTTTTTACAAATGTCCAGTTGGGGTGAGTCAAAACGTTACAACAACAAACAATACAAAAACACGAGAAGAATTCCAAAGTATAGGAAAGGTAAACAAATCACTTACAAAAATAAACAAGTAAAACTAAACATTGTTTTTCTTACCAGGTAAAGCCCACATCATGTGGAAATTTATAAGCGACCTGGCCACAAATGATAGCTCAACAAAGTGGCACATCATGTGGAAATTTATAGCAGCAAAATATTGATATGGGAGGAAACCCACTTACACTATCTCCAGAACACCTCTCAGCCCCACGCCTACAACATTTAGTAACCTCTGGTGGCCGAAGTACTATCCAGGCTCATACCTATTAAGTTTTTGAGAAATGACAAGATCGATTCATTTTATGGTGAATTTATCGCAGACATTAGTGCTGGTGTGAGAATTCCAGAAACGATAAAACGCTAAACAGGCTGTTTTTATGTCAGATTATTCAATGTATTGGAGATATTCCTCAACATATCAGTCAATTCTCTATTTACAACCTGGGTTTAAAGAAAGTAGTTTACTGCATCAAAAAGCATTGATAAAAGTACAAAGCAAATATAACAATTAGGGGTATAATAATGCATCCCCACCCCCAAAGTGACCAATTAATCTTCACGATTCTTGGCTGTAATTACATGAAAGAATGTATTTTTTCATTGCAGACCCTAATGGCTGCAGGGGTCCTATTGCCCTATTAAAGACAACATATACAAATTGAAGCATCAATTCCAACACACATTATTGTATGCATGTATTATGAACTTCAGAAGTGATATTAATCGATGAATCAATCCATTATGTGTAAAAACAAAAAATAGTTATTGGGATGTTTCTGTGTTTCCTGAAAAGCTAAGCATATTTGAGCCCGAATAGTGATTGGATGAGTGATCACCATGCACGCAAGGATTGTCAAAGGGCTGTGGTCCTATGTTATGGGCAGTAAAGGGTAGTGCAAAAACATGTATTGTTGTGCTGTACTTCTATGCTTCCAAATCTATGCTTTCCACCTTCAATCCGCATTGACCAGAGGTAGTGACGTACAGTCAAACAATCCCCATGACATGTACGGGTGTAAAGAGGCCCCCATCTAGCAGTGGATTTACTAAAAGGGTGTATATATTTAAGGAGAGCAAGAAAATGTGAATTTGTCTCATTTGTCTTTGCACAAGCTACAATGAGGTTTACAAATATGTTTAGGAGGTGGCAATACTGTGACATTTGCCTAATTGTATTCATATACTGATTGGATTTAATTGGTTGTTAGGACTTAGGGAGAGTCTATTATGACAATAAGCCACATTCTATGGCGTTAACGCAAGGAATTAAAATTACAAGGGCTATTTTCAACACTGCACTCACACATACTGAAGTAACAATACAGTGCAAAGGCACACCATCCAAACTTACACACCACAAGCTTTATTACAAAACTGTATTATAATAATGCTTTAATGCTCTTAAACATTACCCAAATAAAACAACACGCAATTTATGTTATGATGTACAGTGTAATGGTTCATATTTGAATACATAATTTGGTTAGCTACTTCAGCATCTGGTGTTATTGGTTTCTACATTTACATCAAGATTTGATATAGATGTCATCTATGAATTATATGGGGGAAATATATGGGTGATATACGAGAGCAGATGTACTGCATTTCAATTGTGCGTTGTTCCAAAATTCTTTATTTAAACAGCAAATTGGAAATCATCACATGGACTGTGACGGGCATACTAATAAGGTAAGCACTGTCTCAGGCCAAACTGGATGGGCAGATTAAAGGAAGACATGAACCAAAAAGACACGTAGCGCTTATTTCATATTCAATATATATGTTTACGTTGTGAATTCCACACTGTCCAAGAGAAGTTTTCAGCTTTCTTCATGAGATAACAGACTTTAAAATCACGGTCAGGGGTACTGTTACTGCGTCAATTATGTATCTAACTGTATGGGAGCAGCATCACACTGATATCATGAGAGTACCATCATGAGATGCTTAGCTGTAACTTAAACATTCTGTCTAATAGCCGATGGATTAATATCTAAAGATGATAGTTATTTTTTCATGTGTCTTCCAATATTGACACTTACAGCCTCCCTGACTTGGTTGGCAGTCTTGATGGCCTGGTATGACATCTCCATGGTTGCAGAGTCCAGAGCCTCGTCAGGTCTGCCTCTCAAAGCTCCGCAAGGGGTCAACCTTTCACATGGGCTCTATCAGGTAGAACTGACAGAGAAGTGTCTGGCAAGAGAAGAGAGCACATGCATTTCAGATAGGGTATTAAAGAACGATTGATGTGCCCTAATTTAACTAAATGAGAGCCCAATGAGATCTACTATCTATATTGCAAGGGCATTCCTGAACACGTTGTTAAATAGGAGCAGTTGTCATTAATTACAATTTTATTGCAAGGAATTATTTTGGTTTTGACAGTAGGAAAAAGCCTCTTTTCAAAAATCATTGCCACGTGCTATGTAGTGTCCAATTCAGAGCAGAAGGAATGTCTTGGTATTTACAATCTACCACAATATGTCCCTTATAATCTTCAATATTGCTGTATGGACTCACTCCTGCCTACCCCTCTCCTCTCATCTCACTCTACTCATTTGCTCTCCCCTCCAACTAACAAGGCCTTCTCTCATAACCTTCTATCAACCTCCGCTCAATGTGAAGTCAATCTTTCTCTCGCGGTGCCCCCGTATTCTGCAATTCCCTCCGCTAGCAAAACAGAATGTGCCGTCAAATCTCTACTTAATTATATGTTCAATTTTTCCTCTTCTGCTTATAACTGACTTTCTCCGATGTATGAAATGTCTACATGCACACCTTACTTAAAAAAATACAAACCTCCCTGTTCCAGTATTTCCCATGATGTACAATTCACAACACATTGTACAGATGCGGACACATTTTAATGCTATAAAAATGCAAATGTTAAATTTTAAGTTAGCGTGGATGCAGGAATTGAACTTACCAAATGACAGCTGTACTATTTACACAAGCAATTACGACACCTGCCAACTCTTAGCAACAAGAGTAAGGTAATAACGCCTTTGAGAGTTAGTACAGTCAGACTATATCTGCCATCCTTCTGGGACACAATTAGTGTAATATCATTTTCGGATATGGCGTGGTTGATTGTACACCCATCACCCTATTGGGATATAATTAGAAATGACACTCCTTTTAAGTGAGGATGATTCTCCTTTGTGTCTCTTAATTTGTAAACTGTCTGTGATTTGATGTATACCCCTTTCTATTTTCCTTGGATTTTATTTCAGTTATTGCTGATGCAGAGCCCAGCAGTTAGCTTACACTGTTATGTGGCAGGTTGTAAGTGTTCAGTTTTTAAAACGCCAACTTGGCTCAGCAAATGATTACACAATAATGCCAGAATCAGCAATAAACGTGGATATTTAACGTCCTGTGGCATCAGTAATAGTAGATACTTTGTCCAGCAAATCGGTGCTGTGGTGAGAAGAGTGTTTAACTCACAATCAGAAGGTTGTATGTTCAAAACCCTGTCAGGGGTCACTTCAGCCAACCATCATCATCATCTCTCTGGGGTCTATATATCAGTTTCCAATTGTTGATAAGTCAACATTTATCATCAAATGAAGTGACTGGTGGCCCTCACCGTTGGAGATGAACTTTTCCCAATTGTTAATTTGTGCTTTGACTTGACTTTGACTTTCAAGACAGCCATATTCATATAATAACAATATGTTAACAGATATTTTTGTGTCACTCCAGTTGGTGACGAAGGTCTCCCAAGGCAATGTCCGTTGCGGGGATTGTCAAAACAAAACTACACTATGTTTGAAGGGCATCATTCGCCACTGATGTTAGCTGTGGCTGGGTATCGAACTTAGGTCGCCAGGTGCATCGCTTTAGTGCAGTGGTTCTTAACCTGGTATGCACGCACCCCCTGGGGGTACGAGATGCCCTTTCTGGGGGTACGAGACATGCCAGATTTCTTTTAGACGGTAAATCATCAACATACAAATTGAGCAAGGGCACGTAAGTAAGACTACTTTGTTTCACCAAACCTACAGTGAGGGAAAAAAGTATTTGATCCCCTGCTGATTTTGTACGTTTGCCCACTGACAAAGAAATTATCAGTCTATAATTTTAATGGTAGGTTAATTTGAACAGTGAGAGACAGAATAACAACAAAAAAATCCAGAAAAACGCATGTCAAAACCCTTGTTGGCAATCACAGAGGTCAGATGTTTCTTGTAGTTGGCCACGAGGTTTGCACACATCTCAGGAGGGATTTTGTCCCACTCCTCTTTGCAGATCTTCTCCAAGTCATTAAGGTTTCGAGGCTGACGTTTGGCAACTGGAACCTTCAGCTCCCTCCACAGATTTTCTATGGGATTAAGGTCTGGAGACTGTCTAGGTCACTCCAGGACCTTAATGTGCTCTTCTTGAGCCACTCCTTTGTTGCCTTGGCCGTGTGTTTTGGGTCATTGTTATGCTGGAATACCCATCCACGACCCATTTTCAATTCCCTGGCTGAGGGAAGGAGGTTCTCACCCAAGATTTGACGGTACATGGCCCCGTCCATCGTCCCTTTGATGCGGTGAAGTTGTCCTGTCCCCTTAGCAGAAAAACACCCCCAAAGCATAATGTTTCCACCTCCATCTTTGACGGTGGGGATGGTGTTCTTGGGGTCATAGGCAGCATTCCTCCTCCTCCAAACACGGTGAGTTGAGTTGATGCCAAAGAGCTCCATTTTGGTCTCATCTGACCACAACACTTTCACCCAGTTGTCCTCTGAATCATTCAGATGTTCATTGGCAAACTTCAGACGGGCATGTATATGTGCTTTCTTGATCAGGGGGACCTTGCGGGCGCTGCAGGATTTCAGTCCTTCACGGCGTAGTGCGTTACCAATTGTTTTCTTGGTGACTATGGCCCCAGCTGCCTTGAGATCATTGACAAGATCCTCCCGTGTAGTTCTGGGCTAATTCCTCACCGTTCTCATGATCATTGCAACTACACGAGGTGAGATCTTGCATGGAGCCCCAGGCCGAGGGAGATTGACAGTTCGTTTGTGAATAATTGCACCAACTGTTGTCATCTTCTCACCAAGCTGCTTAGCAATGCTCTTGTAGCCCATTCCAGCCTTGTGTAGGTCTACAATCTTGTCCCTGACATCCTTAGAGAGCTCTTTGGTCTTGGCCATGGTGGAGAGTTTGGAATCTGATTGATTGATTGCTTCTGTGGATAGGTGCTTTTTATACAGGTAACAAGCTGAGATTAGGAGCACTCCCTATAAGAGTGTGCTCCTAATCTCAGCTCGTTACCTGTATAAAAGACACCTGGGAGCCAGAAATCTTTCTGATTGAGAGGGGGTCAAATACTTATTTCCCTCATTAAAATGCAAAATAATTAATAAAATTTTTGACATGCGTTTTTCTGGATTTTGTTGTTGTTATCCTGTCTCTCACTGTTCAAATAAACCTACCATTAAAATTATAAACTGATAATTTATTTGTCAGTGGGAAAACGTACAAAATCAGCAGGGGATCAAATACTTTTTTCCCCTCACTGTATGTACGTATTAACATTATACATTTTTTTTACGATTGAGAACCAAAGGGGTGCAAGGCTGAAGTAAAGGTTCAGAACCACTGCTTTAGTGTGTTAACTATTGTGCCAACACCTCACCCCCATATCCATATACAGTACAGTACAATATCTTCACCATGCCAAGAAAAGTTCCTAACACGTTTACGGGGATGATGGGTCCTGTACTGAGCTAATGCGCTACCCCTCGAATAATGCCAAACTGCTGCATGGCAATACATTGTGCAGATTATTATTCTAAAACTGCTTTTCACCTGCTCTTGTCGCCGTTGCGCATACCAGGTGCTCAACATTTGGTGCTTGATAATCCACTGCAGATAGCAGTGGAGCGTCAATTGCAAACACAGCTGTAAACAAACCCTTCAGCTCTGCATCACCTGTGCGCCCCAGCAGGAGCTTTGATAAAAGTGCAAATAGACATTGCTGGTGACAAGATGTGCATACGCGTACATTAAACAATATACATTTTTTAGATAATATAACCAATAATATTGCGCTTACAATGTTAGCGTTTCAAGAATAGCTTGTTTTAAAAAAAATTCCAGCGCATATGCTCGCTTGGGGAAATAGTTGGGATTTTAACCATTCCCAATAACAACATTTCAGTGTTAAATTAATTTGCACAACACATCTGTGCCCTCCGCAATTAATCCTCGGATTACAACCTAAGGGGTTCTCTTCGTCGGGACTGACGAAGGAGTGGCAACCAAAGGAGTATGACCGCCACGGAGGAGGAGGAGAAATGAAACCAGCTGGTGGGTGTGTGTGATTGATGTATTGTTGCATTAAGTGATTAAGGGGAGCGGCAATGTAGCGGTTCTCGCGCTGCCCTACGAACCGCCGCGGCCAACGCCAGTGACGATGATCTGAACATGGTCCTGGGCCTCGCCTTGGTCGACTCAGCCTTAAACGAGTACCTGGTGCAACGTGTAAACATCGCCACTGGGGAGACAGAGGCGGGTGGGTGCTGGCCACCCACCCCCTCGTGTGGGTGCTACTCGCCAACAGCACTTGCCCCAACAGTCTGTTGAGGCTGTAAGGGGGATCTTTGTTTTTTATGGATTGTTGCAGGGGTGGACAGCCTCTCTCCTGACTCATGGCCAAAGAGGATTTTCAAATGCCTTCGGCGGGCCACCCTCGAAAAAACACACCTCTGTCACTTCTGTAACAGCAAAGAGCTCTTGCTGCGACAGAAGTGACTGAAAATGAGAACGTTGCTGCAGCCAGGTATAACATCTTCCCACTAGTACCCAATTAGTGTGGCTAACATACGGATAGCTGTCGTGCACGGGTCGTTTCGAAGGAGTGGGTCTCAGATATTGAATGAAGTCGCGGTCCATACATTTTCCACCGTGGTTTTTAAATTTGCAAACCTTAAACTCATCTGACGCACGTGCAATCTACATAGTGCTGCTCTGCTCTGGTGATATACCGTAATTGTGTTTTACTGAACAATCAAAAGCTACAATACATCCACAATATTGCGTAACATTGTCATAGTTTTGATTTAAAGCTTTCGTGACTGCAGGGGTTCACATTCTTGGTTCTTTCGGTAAAGTCACGTAGAAAGGAAACAATAAAATCATATTTTTTTATTATTATTGCAATAAAATTATTATTATTGCAATAAAATAATTTTATTGGTATAAAATAATATTTTATTATTTTATTGTTTCCCTTCTACGTGACTTTACCGAAAGAACCAAGAATGTTGTCATAGTTACACGTTTGAGAAGCTGTAAGGGTTTGGTTAGTGTAATCCATACAGTTCTAGACTACTGTCGTTTATAATTACACACACATTGCACTGCTGAGGCGTAACTAACTTTCATTAAAAGTCTTCCGAGTAAACAGCAATTTTAACTTATCACTAAAGTGCAGTAGCTTCACCGACATTTGCATATAGTAATAATGCAAACAGTAATATAATCCACTGCTGATACACAGTCTCCTTCGACTACTACTACCCGCGCCGTATCGATCATGGGGGCTTGTAGAACTACTGTGTATACTTCGCCACCCCGCACTGCTCAAGCACGGGGTGGTAACCGGTTAAAGTTGCCCCGTGACCCATTCACAGATCAATCGCCACTGATGTTAGCCGCGGCCGGGAATTGAACCTGGGCCGCCCAGGTTTCATAGCGCAGTGGGCGAACCACTGCGCCACCCCTCCGCTTCCTTTAAACATGAGCAGTGTTTAAAATGTATTAATAATAAAGGTTTTTGGGTTAGATCGCGTTATTTATGTCGTTCATTAAGTCGCATCCATTCGTCTCCAGCGAATGGACACGTGGGCACTCGCAGCGGTAGCAAAGTCGGTTGGCCGCGCGTCAGCAAACTCGTTATTATTATTGCAAGAATATATTTTTTGTTAAAGTACATTTCTCGCAGTGCATCTCGCACATGTAAATAGCCCTTTATTAACATAACTGTGTCAATTCGCAATTGTACTACCCCCCCCCACCCCCCACTTAAACACGAACGTAATTTAGAGCACGAACTTTACCGTCCACCAAGAGCATCCAACCGCGTCACCGTTAGCGACGCACGACGCAGCTGCCATGGCAACCCTGCGCGACGACGTCACCGCAACAGACCGCGCGGGTGGCGCGATGACGTCACGTTGCGACGAACCGACACGGCGGATTTGCGGTGACGTCATGGCGCGACGTTGCGCGGGCTGCTCTCGCCGTGTGACGTCATCACGCATTGCGGCTCGGACGGCCCTTTACGGAAGCGCGTGAAGGGCCGTTGCCCGAAACGTCGCCGATTTTATACTTTTGTTTCCTACTGCTTTTAAGGCCACAGTGTTGTTGATGAATGTGTTGGAGTGTTGTTGTTGTTGATCGTCACCAAATAACGAAATTGCCTTCACTGGGTGCAGTGCGGTTGTGCACGAAACGTCGTACAATGTCCGGTGTTAAATTCGGTCGAGAAACTTTCTTAAGCTGCCAGTACGCTTTATTTGATCAATAGATTGGCATGTATAAATAACAATTTAAAACGCGACAGTCTTGTCGAGTGGTTGAGGGTTAACGAGAAGGATTTTCGCACAATCTACGCAGCCTAATAAAAGAAAGCTGTGAATTTGGTAGGGTTCAGACCCAACAGTTTATTTCTTATTACAGTTAAAAGGAAAATATATTTCGATTTAAAGCTTTCGTGACTGCAAGGATTCATCTTCTTTGGTTCTTTCGGTAAAGTCACGTAGAATGAGAATAAAATAATAAAATAATAAAATAAAATAACAATAAAATTCTCGTGTTGTGGCCGAAACGTCGTGAGAATGTTATTGTTTTATTTTATTAATTTATTATTTTATTCTCATTCTACGTGACTTTACCGAAAGAACCAAAGAAGAGGAAAAATCTATGTACAATATCTCATTTACGGTGGGAATTCCACGTTTCTATAGCTGGGACATTAAAAAAAATTGTTCGGCGAACTTACGTCACTTATTTTACTCATATTTAAAAATAAACTTGACCCCAAATTTGCTACCATTATGCTAACTAACATTTCCAGTAAAATTTCATAGGACGTGATTGCGAATGTCATCGGCGGATCGGGATCAGACTGGTTAATGAGGTCAGCGAGAGGTACCAAGGGTGCTTTTGAAAAGCTGAATCTGATCATGAAAAGCAAAATACAGTACCAACGTGCCCGGACAGTGAAACTTTAAATAATATGCAGATATTTATTGCTACATGGATTGGAAATATAGACACTGACACGGGAAATTAAAAACGTAAAAGTACAGGGCGGTCCAGGGTGTATTTAAACCATAAATGAATATACAAAGGAAAACGATGTTAGTGGCCAATTTATTGGGGGTCACAAGACATATAGGCTACCCTGGTACACTGCTAACGTACGGTGCGAAAGAAGTTAAACATGCATATTGAGGATTGCACTGAGAGGCAGAATAACACAACAGCCAGAGCCAACACGTAAATTAAACATTGGTGATGGCCATCGATTGATGGCCGATGGACGAGACTGGCGATGTAATGGCAACATAAAGAAGGAACGCCCAGGAGGATGACCACCACGGTGATGGAGGGATAAAATCAGCTCATGTGCACGATCAAGATAGATTAAGGCATCTCGATATTGTGAAGGATGGCGGTGACGTGAGGAGGCCTTGATCCAGCAGTGAATCGACCGTGGCCGTTCGATTATGGTGTGAACCGGTATATTCGTAGGACGTAAGATTCCCACCCGGTTGTGCATTTTAACTTGGTTCTGACCCAGCCCCATAAAATTCAACGCTCATGGGTTTTATATCCGCAATTCAGTATTTATGGGTATAAAATATGGATATAACGTTCTTGGGCAAGCTTGGGTATTGCTCCTGTTCATCTACCACTAATCTTCCAAGGTTAGGTTTGAAGTAAACGACCATTGTTTGGCAAATATGCATAACTACGGCATTATATGGTATATTAAATAGAGCTAGTAGTGAGCTTTCTGCATAAGAAATGTTGATATTTTACAGTGCAATCCTGTCGAGCTGCATGTCGTATAACTGAACATTTCGTGGAATTTGTTTGCACTTGGCAACATGCTGAACATTTTTTTTTTTACCACGGTCGTCTAAACGACTGTAGCGGCAACACACTTTAAATGATTAATTTTGTTGTAAGGCTTTGTTCCTGACAACAGTGGTAAACTATTGTTCTTTTCCACTGAACCCATCCCCCCACGACACTTCACCCATCAGCTTACCTCTGAGACCTCCCCCCCTACCCCCCACTGTCCTCTTGGGTCCCCTACCCCCAAATTAACCTCCCTCCAGACCACCACCAATCCCTCTGGACACCATTAACATAAGCAGCCATGATTATTCCACTGCTGGATGAAGGCTTCCCCGCAGCAAAATATGCATGCACAGTACATGATGTATACACAAGGACCCATAAACTCCGTATTCCTCCGCCTACAGATCCCCCAGCAGCCCCCTTCTCTTGCCACCCCCTGGGGCCCCTTCCCCCATGTTCAAACATAGACCACTCCCGCTAACCCCCCCCCGCCACCAATAACACTCCTCGGACCCCCCCCCCCCATACCCCTTTCCATGTACTGTACATCCAGAACCCCTCCCTTGATCAATCCCCCGGAACACCGCCTCATATTATTCCCAAAGGACATCTACCCCCACTTTCTCCCCCGTAACATTCTCCGTTCCATTCCATAGACCCCCTCCCCTCAACAGCCCCCCCCCAAAAAAAATATCCCCCAACTATCCTCCAGGGACCAGCTCCCCACCCCCCGTCTCCTCTCCCTGACTATCTCAGTACCCCTCCCCCACTCATCCCCTTCTAATACCATCCCCTCTATACCCCCAGCACCCTTCCCCTACTGACTGACCCCTCTCATCTCTTCCACCCCATCCCCCCAGCACCCCCTCCCCGACTGACCCCCCCCCCTCATCTCCTCCCCCCATTTGTAACCCCTACCCCCACACCCCTCCCCCACCATCCTTCCCCATACCCCTGCCGTTATCTATCATGTTTATCCCAATAACATGATCCCTTCACTCAGCAAGATGCATTGTTGTACAGCACTATGGCTCCCACGTGATCCCCCCAACCCCGCCGGATCAACCACCCCTTTACCACTCTCACGAGTGAACCACAAAACCAACCCCCATCGAGAGCCTACTTCTCAAGCCCCCTCTATTCCCCAATTTCTATTCATCACATTCACACGACCCCCACTCCTAAGTCATCCCAGTTATCCCTCGAGTGAAACATATCAATCATGAAAGGGGTTTTGACGTGAAAAAAGTCATGCGAGCTTTAATCAACGTGTTGCTGTAAACAATCACTGAAGCAACTCACAGGCATGTACAGTGAGGGAAAAAAGTATTTGATCCCCTGCTGATTTTGTACGTTTGCCCACTGACAAAGAAATGATCAGTCTATAATTTTAATGGTAGGTTTATTTGAACAGTGAGAGACAGAATAACAACAAAATCCAGAAATATGCATGTCAAAAATGTTATAAATTGATTTGCATTTTAATGAGGGAAATAAGTATTTGACCCCTCTGCAAAACATGACTTAGTACTTGGTGGCAAAACCCTTGTTGGCAATCACAGAGGTCAGACGTTTCTTGTAGTTGACCACCAGATTTGCACACATCTCAGGAGGGATTTTGTCCCACTCCTCTTTGCAGATCTTCTCCAAGTCATTAAGGTTTCGAGGCTGACGTTTGGCAACTCGAACCTTCAGCTCCCTCCACAGATTTTCTATGAGATTAAGGTCTGGAGACTGTCTAGGCCACTCCAGGACCTTAATGTGCTTCTTCTTGAGCCACTCCTTTGTTGCCTTGGCCGTGTGTTTTGGGTCATTGTCATGCTGGAATACCCATCCACGACCCATTTTCAATGCCCTGGCTGAGGGAAGGAGGTTCTCACCCAAGATTTGACGGTACATGGCCCCGTCCATCGTCCCTTTGATGCGGTGAAGTTGTCCTGTCCCCTTAGCAGAAAAACACGCCCAAAGCTTAATGTTTCCACCTCCATGTTTGACGGTGGAGAAGGTGTTCTTGGGGTCATAGGCAGCATTCCTCCTCCAAACACGGCGAGTTGAGTTGATGCCAGAGCTCCATTTTGGTCTCATCTGACCACAACACTTTCACCCAGTTGTCCTCTGAATCATTCAGATGTCCATTGGCAAACTTCAGACGGGTGTGTATACGTGCTTTCTTGAGCACATCCTATCCTATAGGGGTCGGCACTGCACGCAGAGCGTGGTGCCATCCAGCGCTGTCAGTCAGCGCTCACCGAGCCCCTCTAGGGCCGGTACGGCACCCACGTGTGAGTGGTGCCCGCGATGTCAATACGTCGCACGCCGTGCCTCTCACGGGCCAGCATTACACAGCGACATCCGCGATGTCACTACATCAAGCAAACATGCTCTGATATATGCAGTCTTTGAAACCGATTGGCCTACACCAGACACATCGGCGTTCTTTATGGCCTTGTCTCACCAGTGTCAGAGCAGATAACATCCAAAAAGCGAACAGGACAGGACAGAAGGTATTGCTGAACTTTTTTTTTGCGAGCCCACGGAGAGTTTCACAACATCCGTGTGAACTACCAAACCCTCAATCAAGCCATCACCTCAAAGTCTCCAGAGAGTTGCACATGCGACGTTGCACACTATTTATTTCAGTTTAAGTTGATTTATTTTGGTATAGCCCTACCAACATTTGATACGCACGAATCCGATGCTCGTGCTTAATCAGAACATGTTTTTAATCCTGGAGACATTCGATGAGCTATAAAGGCTCTTTTTCACAGTCGTTGCGGGTCAGAATGGTACAATACAAAAAAAACCGAAAGGAGTGTAAAGTATAGAAAAGTAGGCAAATCGCTTTACATAAACTACTTATTTTTTTATTTTACCAGGCAAAGCCCACTGAGCTCTTAAGTTATTTTTCATACGCAACCTGGGCACAAATTATAACTCAAGTGGCGTATCATGCAGAAGGACCTCAAGTCGCAATAAGCTTACGAGACGTGACCCGAATAGCTAATCGATTATTTTATATTCGTATATGAATTGCACGTTCACCACAATGACAACTGATCGGATCGTCAGAA